CATAAACTTTATACCAAAACCAGGTAAGAAAGGAACATTCATTTTTTTCTAAGTGATGAACACAATGGCAAAAAACTCCTGAACAAAATTTTACACAGTGAATCCTAACAAGCAAGGAAGTTACCAAACACTATCAGAGCCTGTGTGGGAAGAACTTAGGAGAAACGTAAAAGGGCCTCCACCAGCCAGAGATGGGACAACTTGGCAATCATAAAAACACCAGATCCAGTGGCCTAAAGCACAGGAACCAGGGTTGGGGGACTGATTAAATATTTCACAAGGGGCAATCCCTTCAGGTCCCCTCCCTCCTTAGGAGCTTTGTACTATCAGTTTTGCTATTGCTCAATAAACCTTGCTTTGCTGCCCCCCCACAAAAAAATTCACATGAAGAATATACTTACAACTAGAAGACAAGGAATCAACATAAAACGTAAGAATAGTGCCAGGCAAAAGTGAAGAGGACCAGATCAGGAATATCAAATTAGACAGGTACAAACAGAAGTATAGAAACACTACTGTGGTAAAGCAAACCTATGTGACTTCAAAGACTAGATTTATTTCCACAATGAAATACTTCATAAGTAAAAATAAGCGGCAGATTCATGTATTCTGCCATAGTTATGTCACTGCCCTCAACTGGCTTTTTTTAATATAGCTATAAAGGTACACAGGAATAAAATTGACTTTTATATATTGAACTTGTATCCCACAAACCTTGCTACATTTACTGGTTCATAATTGACGTACAGTAAACTGCACATACTATATTATATAATTTGATAAGCCCTGACCTCTGTATACACCAGTGAAACCATTATCACAAACCAGAAAAACAACATAGTCATCATACCGAAATGTTTCCTCATACTCCTTGTATGAACTTTTTTTAATCTCTTCCTCTACCATCACCAGACAATGACTTATATTTTCTAGTATTTTAAGTAAATGGAAAAGAGCTCTAATTTGGTAAATACATGATAGAATACCATTCGGTGAAGTTAAGTCGTGTCTGAAACAATCATTCAAAAGAATACTGGAGGGGCGCCTGGGTGGCTCAGCTGGTTAAGCGACTGCCTTCGGCTCAGGTCGTGATCCTGGAGTCCTGGGATCGAGTCCCACATCGGGCTCCCCGCTCAGCAGGGAGTTTGCTTCTCCCTCTGACCCTCCCCGCTCTCGTGCTCTTTTTTTTTCTCTCTCTCAAATAAATAAATAAAAATCTTAAAAAAAAAAAAAAGAATACTTTTTTTTAAATATCCACTTGAAAAAAAATAGGCATACTTAAAACCAGAAACATAGCAAAATTTTTTTTCTGCCCAACAGTCCTCCCTATCCCTCTTTTTTATTATTTTAAAGTAATCTCTTTTTTTTGGGTGCCTGGGTGGCTCAGTTGTTAAGCGTCTGCCTTCGGCTCAGGTCGTGATTTTTTTTTCCTGGGATCGAGCCCCACATCGGGCTCCCTGCTCAGTGGGAAGCCTGCTTCTTTTTTTTCCACTCCCACTGCTTGTGTTTCCACTCTCGCTGTCTCTCTGTCAAATAAATAATTTTTTTAAATCTTTAAAAAAATAATAAAATAATAATAATCTCTATGCTCAACGTGGGGCTTTTTTTTCACAACCCTGAGATCCAAAGTCACATTGCTTGACTGACTGAGCCAGCCAGGTTTTTTTTCCTCTTCAGTTTAAACATCCTCAGAGCAGCTTTCCTTCATCATTCTCCTGTTATTTTTTTCCACAGTGGCAATCTCTACCACTACTCTCTGTCACTTGTCTCACTTGTGCTTACTGTCAACATCTCTCTCCCCTCACAGACTGAATTCAGTGATGGAGGAATGTGTCTTGTTATTTTTTTCATTCCCAATGCCTACCACACTTGGGACTTAGTAGTTACTTGATAAATGTTTGTTTTTTTAAGGAAGGAACAGATGAATCAAAGAATATTTTCAAATTACCATTCAGAATAAGTAAAATACTGGCTTGCTCTATAGTAACTTTCCTCTGACTAGTATGAACAGGCAAAAGGAAAAAGACACGGCACTGATAAGGTTCTCACACTGTCAATCTACCAAATTCATCTTTCAGAGCTTTTTTTATCCTGTTCTAGGGGTAGCCATACTCCTAAAGTCCTTCATGAATCCTTCACCTTCTGTGGTATTATATGGCAACTGTTTACAGAGCTATATAGTGATAGCCCAAGGCCTGGTTTTTTTTTGAATAGGAGCATATGCCATTTCCTTTAGATAGTTAAATACAGTTAAGATTAAATTTTTTTTTCTAACAAGGTGAGAGCATAAACTCAAAAGACTTTTCCAATCTCCATCCCCTCTTATCTGTGGGCTTAGATGACCTCCATCTCTTATAGGGAGCCCCTCGATCCTGTAACTGTTTTTTTATACTCTTATTTAGCTCCTTTATGCCTCCTAAGATGCATTCTTTTTCTTTTTTTTTTTTTGATTTATTTTTTATTTTTTTTTTTTTAGCTTAATAGCCCTATTAACTTTTATATTTTTTTATTTATTTATTTGACAGAGACAGTGAGAGCAAGAACACAAGCAGGGGGAGTGGAGAGGGAGAAGCAGGCTTCCCGCCGAGCAGGGAGCCCGATGTGGGACTCGATCCCAGGACCCTGGGACCATGACCTGAGCTGAAGGCAGACGCTCAACGACTGAGCCACCCAGGCGCCCTATGCAAAATTTATTTTTGAATAATCTCTATACCCAACATGGGGCAAAGGTACCTACCTATATAGAGCTTATGTTCTAGAGGGAAAAAACAGATGAGAAACAAATATAAAAAAAATAAATTTTATTAGAAGGTAGGAGGAAAAAAGAGAAAAGAAAGATAAGAATGTGGGGAATGCTGACAAGAGAAAAGATGGGTGCAATTTTAAACAGATGGGTTAGAGTAGTCTTCGTTGAGGGGATATGTGAGTAAACAGTGAGAGTTAATATATGGACTTACGGGGAGAAGTGTTTCAGGCAAAGAGAACAAGTATGGCAAAGACTGAAAGGCAAGAACATGCCTTTCCTGTCCTAACAGCGGCAAGGAAGCACTAAAATCAGAGTGGAGTAAACAAAAGAGAGTAGTAGACGTCTTCACAAGGAAGTTACCAAACAAGATCAGATCTTACAGCACCTTACACACCACTGTAAGGAATCTGGCTTTTACTCTGAGTAAAATATGAACCACCACAGGATTTTGGACAGAAAAGTGACATGATATGCCTTACACTTCAAAGAGACCACTGTGCTGGCTATATTTAGGACAGAATGCAAAGGGGTAAGGGTAAAGCTGGAAAGATCAGGAGAATATTGTAGTAATTCAGTCAAGAGATGATGATGGCTTTGAGGGGCGCCTGGCTGGTTCAACTGGTGGAGCATGTGACTTGATCTCAGGGTTGAATTCAAGCCCCACACTGTGTATAGAGATTACTTAAAAATAAATCTTGGGGAAAAAAAAGAAAAAGAAAGATGATGATAGCGTGGATCAGGGTAGTTAGTAACAGTGAAAGTGGTAAATTGGTCAGATACTAGGTAATTTTTGAGGGTTCAACAAAGAAGATTTGCTGATGCTTCAGATGTGGGATATATGAAAGAAGTCAAGGATGATTCCAAAGTTTCTGGCCTGACCTGAACAACTAGAATGATGGAAATACAGTTATCTGAGATAGGGAAGGCTATGGATGGAACAGGTGTGAGGTAGAAGATGAGGAGTTCAGTGTTGGCCATGTTAGTTTTGAAATAAATATCTTTTAGACATCCAAGTGGAGATGTTAGGTGGGGCTGGGTATAAAAATCTGGAGTTTGGGAGAAAAGTCTGGGGTGGAGATAAAAGGTTAGAAATCATCAGACTATAAATGACATATAAAGCTATGAAACTAAATTAAATCACTCTGGGAGACAGTAAAGAAAATGTGATCAAGAACTAAGCTCAGAGGCATTCCAATTTTAAAATGCTGAGAAGAGGAAACAGCGAAGTAGACAGAAGGAGCAACCAATACAGTAGGAAGAAAACCAGGGGGCTATGCGGTTCCTGCAAGCCAATTGAAGAATCAAGGAAAGAGAGATGAACTCTTCTAAAATAGTTCTGATCCATGAAGCAAAGACTGTTGAGAGGAAGAACGCAGAAGTGGAAGCCAGGAAGGGGAGAGAGGTGGTATTATTAGCAAAATGTATACCTTCCCACCCTAATCCTTTCTGTGCCAAAAAAATTCCTAAATACTGGGACATAAACATGAATAATACACTGTCCCTGACTTCAAAACAGTCCAATTATGTGCTAAGAAATGTATAAAATTGGACTTTCCATTTTTTCTGAAGCACCAGCCCACTGTGTGTGTGTGTATGTGTGTATGTATATTTCTTTTAAAGATTTTATTTATTAAGAGAGAGCGTGAGCTGGAGGGAGAGGGAGAGGAAAACAGGCTCTGTACATAAAATTATGTAGAGATAGTCTTAATTGGTTTGGCCAATGTAAGTTTTAAGAAAAAAGCGTCTTCTGCTTAAAATTATGTAAGCACTAAAATCTCAAAATAAAACAAAAAAACATGCATATTAGTAAAACAGTAAAAATATTTTTATGTTAACCATGGTTATCCTTGAAGAACGATCAGGCCACTTTCATTATTTGTGATATTCTCTATTTTTCAAATTAAAAACAGGGGTGCCTGGGTGGCTCAGCCGATTAAGTGTCTGACTCTTGGTTTTGGCTCAGGCCACTATCTCATGGGTCATGGGATACAGCCCTGGGTCGAGCTTCCGGGGTTTGGGCTCTGTGCTCAGTGGGGAGGCTGCTTGAAGATTCTCTCCCTCCACCCCTTCCCCTATTCGAGCATGTCCATGCTCTCTTTCTCCCTCTAAAATAAATAGATAAAAAGATAAATCTTTAAGCAAACAAAAACCTAAGCTTACATCATTTGTACTACATTTAGGTAAATACATATTATGTTGTACTTAGTTTAAATTAATATTTACTTTTAATTTATGTTAACAAAAATAAACTCACTTGGGCATGAATGCTCCATTGGCTAAGGATGGCTCATCGTCATCCAGCCCGTCGAAGAGATGTGACTTGGCCGTGCCTGTTGTTTGTAAAGCCTTTGGTCGAACTCTGGTGGCAGGGCGGGGTGTTAGTTTATAATGAGTAGGTGTAGTGAGAGCCTTCTGGGCTGCTGGATTTGTTGGTTTCAATCTCTGAAAAACAAAAGCATCAAGGAAAATTCCAGTTTAACTGAAATGCATTATTTGGCCTTAAAAAAAAAAAATCAAGAACAGAGTTCAAATATCTTTGCCATTTATCCAACTAGATACCTGTTTATTTTTCAACTAAACCAAAAATCTTAAACTTCAAAATAAACTGAGATGCACCCAACTTCTGTGCAATCCAAATCACTTTTTAAAAAAATGGTTATTAGCTGGCATTTATTCAGCATTTAGTAAACACTGGTAGTTGCCATGAGTCAAACACTAGGTACTGGCAATAAAAATAATGAAATCACTTTCCCTGATTTTTGAGGAAATTACAAGTTAGTAGAAGAGACATACAACTAAAATAAGACTTTAGGTTGATTTTGATGGCACCTTTATTATTTTCTATAACATCTGCTGGATGTTACAGATTTGTTTTCCTACTAAACATTATACATGGGATTATATAACCACTTGAAACAACAATGTCTAACATATAAAACCCTGTCACAGTTTATGTTTCTCTTTACAATGCAGACTGTTTACACTTCAGCAACAATGAACCTTCCTAGATCTTTTTTGTGATCTCTCACAATTGTGTGTCATTGCTTGGAATGTCTTAACCTAGATCTACCAACTTCTCCATATATACTCAAAAAAAGTTAAATGTTACCTCTTTTGCAAAGCCTTATCAAACTCACCCAAAAATCTACACTCTTCCTTAACATAATATTCACCATTTTAAAGCAAACTATTCAGGGGGGTTTAGTATATCTACTAAGTTGTGCAAGAATCACCACTATATAAGTCCAGAACATTCCCCTCACTCCAAAAAGAAATGTTGTGCCTGCAATTCGTTTCCCTAGGCAAACATGAATCTACTTTGTCTCAGTAAATTTGCCTATTCTAAGCATTTTATATGAATGGAATCATGTGGCCTCTTGTGTCTGCCTTCTTTCACCCAGCATAATGTTTTCAAGGTTCACCCATGTTGTATGTAGCACGTTATCAGTACTTCATTCCTTTTTATGACTGAATGACATATCATATATATATATATACACACACATATACGTACACACACACACTTTGTTTATCCATTCATCAGCTAATGGGTTATTTTATTACTGTATTTACTATATTGAGCTTGAGTAAATTTAAACACATTAACAGGGGCGCCTGGGTGGCTTAGTCGTTAAGCGTCTGCCTTCGGCTTGGATCATGATACCAGGGTCCTGGGACCGAGCCCCACGTCAGGCTCCCTGCTCCTCCCTCTCTGACTCCCCCTGCTTGTGTTCTCTCTCTCGCTGTGTCTCTCTCTGTCAAATAAATAAAATCTTTAAAAAAATAAAAATAATAAAAAACACAACAGATCCAATCTTCCTGACTAAATAAATAGCAAGCTCTTAGAAGGTAAGTTGTTTTCATTTTGTATCCTCAGTACTGAACACAGTGACTAGCACATATTTAGGCCTGTAATTATGCTGCACAAAAAACACATAATTTTCTTTTCTTTTTTAAAGTAGGCTCCATGCCCAGGATGGAGCCCAGGGCAGGGCTTGAACTCATGACCCTGAGATCAAGACCTGAGCTGAGATCAAGAGTTAGACACTTAACTGACCAAGCCACCTGGATGTCCCACACAAAATTTTCATCTAAGCAAACCTTATATTTATGCAGCATGTTAAAAAGCACTTTAAATTCCTATCTTACTTCTCTTTATATCTAGTTATAGGGTTAATTAAAAAAACCAGTGAGGGAGAAATGAGATGACATAAATAACTGAGCAATAATATCTGTAGACTGACCAGCTTATTATAAATAAACCAGGTATGCATTATCTCACTTAATTCTCAAGATTAAACAGTATTACTATCCCCATTTTACAGACGAAGAAACACATTCAGAAGCAAAGACATGCTCATTGTACATGGTAACACAAGGATTAAACAGACCAAAGCCTACTTTTAATCCACACCACAGTGAGCAGATCATTTCTCTGACATTAGAGCATAAAAAATTAAGACAAAGTTAACTGTAGAAACCAGGAGAAAAGATATTGATATGCCACTTAAGAATATTATGATTTTCAGAAAATCAGCCTCTCTGAGCCTTAGTTTGCTCAACTATAAAATGGGAATAATATATGCCTTATTTCAGGGTTACTGAAAAGTCTCAGCCCTCACCTTCAGTCCAGTGTTCATTTCACTATTTTAGTCATGCTGCCTTCCAGATACAGCAAACAAAATCTATCTCCTGGTTCAGTGAAAAGCACAAATAATGTGTCTTAAAAACTTAATTACACCTAACTCTGCTTAGGCTTATTAAGAAATTATATTCTCCACATTTAGTTCCTCTTGATCTGAGAATAAACTTTACAAAAGCATCCTTAAATTTACCTCTTCTTTCTTCTTAGGGTCTGACATGGGATTCCGGAAGAGAGGAGAGTCTCCAAAAGGTGAGTACGTTAAACTATTGATGTGCTGTTGGAGAACAGCTTGCTGGGCAGCAGAAGCATTGGGATCTGTCAAAGCTTTTTGAAAAAAAAGAAAAGAGAAAGGAAGATGTCAGTCCAGGGATCCAATGCAATTATAGCAAGAGAACACAGAATCATTTTGGAGACATCTTCAAAATGTTCAGACTCACTCAATGGCATTATTGGTGGAGAGCAGAGGAGCAAACTGTGAAGAAAATCAACAACCAAAGAAACTAATGGGTAAAAGATACGAAGAGGCATTTCATAAAAGACAACACACAAAAAATTTTACTTAGGTGTTCGTTGTCACTAATGATCAATGAAATGCAATTTAAACAACCCTGAAGAAATATTTTGTATCTACCTCATTATCTATTAGTCGTATATGTATCAGCTGTATCAAAAGAATTATAGTCTTTGACTTCTAGACACATTATAAATTGACTTACTCTGTCTAAAAGAAATAACAGGACAGTACATAAAGCAAATACTGTTTTTTTATTTTTTAACCTACTCATTTCAATCATGGAAATTTAACCCAAGGGTTTAAATAAACTAGAAACAAAGAAATGTTTGTAAATATTCAATAAATATTATCTGTAATTGTTAGGACTTGGAAACAACCTATACCCAATATTAATAGCTGTAAAAATCATGATACATTAACATGGTGGGTTAAATAGTTATTAAAAATAATGACAATGTGGGCGCCTGGGTGGCTCAGTTGGTTAAGCGACTGCCTTCGGCTCAGGTCATGATCCTGGAGTCCCTGGATCGAGTCCCGCATCGGGCTCCCTGCTCGGCAGGGAGTCTGCTTCTCCCTCTGACCCTCCCCCCCTCATGTGCTCTCTCTCTCAAATAAATAAAATCTTTAAAAAAAAAAAAATAATGACAATGTGTTTCACGGTGGAAATAAGGAAATACCTTTGATTTAATTTAGTAAATAAAAATTCCAGAATAAAAAATATTAAGTATACTAAGACTATTGAGGAAGAAAGTGGAACACAAAAAATGAAAATGGCTGTAAAGGTGTCCTTATATGTTTATTATTTACATTTAATATTCATACTATATTCAAGTAAAAATTGAAAGAAAAAATATCACTCCAATTAGTCTAATTTTCTTTTTAAGTGTAAAAACATTTCATTAGTCACAGAGAATTTAGGGAACAGAAAAGGAATGATCTATAATCACACACAGTAAAAAATAAACAAGAAAACCCCCACAACTATCTGCGTTATACCCTGATTGATGAAGAAACCTCTTGGCAAAATAGTTCCAAAAATACTCATTTAAAAAAAAATCAAATCACACCTAAGTAATTTTAGAGATAAAAACACTTTTTTCCTTTATAAGTGTTTAAAACAAGGCTAATGCCAAAACATAATAAGATAATCCACATTGAAGGAATCCCTCAAACAAAACATTTGGAAAATTTTGATACAACAGGGAGAAAAAAAACACAACAGCAGCAGCAGCAACAACAAACCCAGAACAGAGAGCTAAAGCTTAAGTAACGAAAAAGGGGTAAATCCACCTTAGTCAAATTAAGCTTTCTTAAAATCAGATGTATTAATTAAATACTAAAAGTGTATGCTAATATATAAGGGGAGAGTACAAGTTTGCTCAAGACTGTGAAACCCAGAGATGTCAATTTAAAGAGCATATAGCAAATCATGTGTATGATGTTCCTAAATCCAATTTAAGTATCAGTGAGAAAAAAAATATAATAAAGTAGCTTCAGTACAGAGTGCCACACAACAACAGCATAAATGTTATTCTACAGACTATTCAAGGAGACTCAAGAAAACCTGGATGTTTTTGTAAGAATTCTAATATTCACTAGTCAGTTACTTGACAGGCAATTATCCATTAAAAATAACACTGACACGTACCAGCTAATCCCATCATTAACAAGTATAATAGGTCACCCCATCTGGGCTTACTCAAAAGAATAAGAACTCCTTTAACAAATCCAAACGTAATTAGGAAGTGTGTGAATAGGATGTTTTTATTTTTGTATGCTTAAATATGAAATATTCTCTAAGTTAACTGTATTATTTAAAAATATAAATAAGAGAGCTGATTTGTTAGCAAAAATAAGAGAACAATCAAGCATAAGCACTACTTAAGCTACCATTTGTGTTATAGTCAATTCCGGTCACAATAATTTGAAAACATACTGAAAAGCCACATCATGACCAAATGATTAAAGGCACAGGAAAAAGTATAAAAAATAAAGTCTGAGAATAGAAAAACCTGATGATATTTTATCTGGAAGAAAGACAATAGGGTTACTGCAAAGAAACTGTAACAAACTGGTTTGCTTAGCTTAGGAGGTAAAAGTAGAACCACTGAGTGGAAATTCTAGGGAGGCATGTTTTGGTTTCTAAACAACCTGAACAAAACAATGGACCAGACTGACTTGGAAAACTGTAACTGAGGAACTCCCCACAGTAAGAGAGGACTCACATAAGCTCTAAAGCACCTTCCAACTAACATCCTATGATGCAAAGATGTACATTCTAAAAGGCAATAACAGCTACTTTTAAATGTGTGGTAACAGTACCATATGTAACTGTAATACTAAATGCTCATGTCAGGAACTTTTAATTGACTTCAGAAAAAGATGGATTATCAAAAACCATTCAAGGGGTGCCTGGCTGGCTCAGTCAGAAGATCATGCTACTCCTAATCTCAGGGTTGTGAGTTCAAATCCCATGCTGGGTGTAGAAATTACTTAAATAAAACTTAAAAAAATTTTTTTAAAAACCCAAACTATTCAAAACACTATCCAAGTAAAAATGGCAGGTTACAATATTTATGGTATGTCCTACTGAAAACAACTAAAACTAAGGAAAAGAAATAAAAGTGAAAATATCACTTTTAATGATAAAGTTTATTCTAATGTTCAAATTACAATTCTAATTCACCTCCACACCAAAGATCTAAGTAAAATCTGTTTTTTAAAAAAGATTTTATTTATTTGAGAGGAGAGTGAGTGAGAGGGAGAAAGAGAGAGCGTGTGAGTGTGCACGCACGAACAGGAAGGAGGAGCAGAGGGAGAGGGAGGAGACTCCCTGATGAGCAAGGAGCCAGATGCAGGGCTCAATCCCAGGACCCCGGGATCATGACCTGAGCCAAAGGCAGATGCTTAACCAACTGAGCCACCCAGGTGCCCCTATGTAAAATCTATGTTTAAAACAAATTAAAATATATCTATATAACCCACAATGACAAAGAATGGGACATAACAAATGAACAGAAGAGAAAATATAACAAATTTCTAGGGGAAAGAAGTGGACAGAGGAGTGACAAAGCAGGATAGAGCGAAGGATAGCTTAGAGTACATTCATAGGGGATCACAGCCCAAAGTGGAGCATATCTGCCCTGTAGAATCCCAGAAAGATTAGGGATTCAATGATACCAAGTTTGATGAAGTGAGACTGAAAGCAGGAGAGATGAACCAATGCAAAGTACATATATAAACCACCCATACCTTCATCCTTCCTAATCCCTGATCCTCAACAGATAAGCCAAATATCAGAGTGTGCCTCTGATGAAACCAAATTTACATATGGAAAGAACAAGGACAACTCGCTTCAGTACCTGCATCATCCCAGAGCTAAGAATATAACAATCAGAGGACCCTTGGATAATAGGTGGTTCCTGGACTACTTACCTTAAAGTGAAACTTACTGGTAAACAAGCTCTACTCATACACATAAACTGCCAGTGAGCTTTTTATTATTTTATTCTTGAATATGAATGGTAAAGATCACAGAGCATTAAAGAGGAGGACCAAAGCAAAAATAATCCTGAGGATTTAAGGCACAGAAAAGTCCTAAAAAAATTTTTTTAAAGCCAATTAACAAAGTTTCAAGAAAAAATTGCATCTAAGAACCAGATGCTTGAGAAAAGGAACTTTCAGAGAATGAGAAAGAATTCTTGCTAAATTGAAAATAAAAATTCAAAACGATGATGATTTAGAAGACATTCAGCAATCTCCTAAAAAGTAGAAACACAGCTTAAAAATCAAGCATTTAGAAAGGGGGCACCTGAGTGGCTCAGCTGGTTAACTGACTGACTCTTGATTTTGCCTCAGGTCATGATCTCAGGGTTGTGAGATAGAGCCCCATGTCGGGCTGTGGGCTGGGTGTGGAGCCTGCTTAAGATTCTCTCTCCTTCTCCCTCTGCCCCTCCCCCCACTAAAAAAAAAAAACCTTAAAAAAAAAGGGTATAAGCAATTCAGTGAAATTTCAGGACAAAGGGACAATCCTAAATGCCTGTGGGGGTAGTAGCTGAACACATCTCAAGAATCAGAAAAGCATTAGACTTCACAGCACATAATGGTTAATGCAAGAAATACAGTCCAAGTTCTGAGGATAAATTATTTTCACACTAGAATTCCATAACATTAAAGCGTGAGGAACAAAAAAGGTATTTTCAGACCTATAAGTGATCAAAGTTTACCCTTCATATACACTTTACTTAAAAACACATTCCAGACAATTCAGGAAATAAATAAAAGGGAAAAACCTACACCTAGGACAGGGCAGTTCCCACTGAGTAGCCCTGAAGGGAATACTGGGAGCAATGCTGAAGGCCTAGGGAATAATCAGAGTTCATACTGCTGCAGGAGGAAGGACAGAGGGATCAATGAGTGACATATCCAGGGTAAAAGAATTCTGATACCATCCTTAAGAATTTGGACCAGTTCAGGAAGGTGATAAGGACTGGTAATCCAAGGGGAAAAAAGAATTAGAAATTCTAGGAGAAAGAAAAAGCTGTATAAAAAAGGTGTATGTGGCTGGGCAGCAATGTTTTCATAGTTGTAATAATATGCTGTGTTCGCCTTTACAACTTTTAAATTATTCTTTAATCAGAGAAAAGATGAAGGTAACAATTATAGGACAGAATACATCATCATCACTTTCAATATGAAAATATAAAGAAGGCAAAAGAAGAAATGAAAAAAAGAAGGGTAAGAAAGGGCACTAATACCCTTACTTGATCAAGAGGACTCAAGAAATACTCTCAGTTGACAGAACAAGAAAAAGTACGAAGGGACATGGCTTAAATTTGCAAAGGGCTTATCCAAATGTGGTACACGGATCATGATATCAATGGTACATCTTTCTCTTGCTCTCTCTCATTCACTCAGTTACTCTTATTTATGCCAGGTGGTAACAGTTTTTTATCTCCAATACAACGGATTTCTTTTAAAAAGATATTTGAGCTAAAAAGTTAATTTTAAGTTAAAAATAATAACAGACGTAGGAGGCAGAGAGGGCAAAAACTAGGAAAGGGTATTCAAATGAATGAAGCACGAAAAATACTCCAGTAGATAAAACTAAACTTAGGGTATTTAGTAACATAGGTATATTAGGAGAAGTGAATAAAGAACACAGAGGTAGGTGGTAAGTGAGCTCTATTTCTCATCTACCATTAACAAGTTAAATTTATTTAAGACTTAATAAATAAAGCAAAACAAAGCAACATAAGCACATCATTTAGAGATAGGAACTTAACTATATACCAGGAAACAAAGTGGCCATAACAAAGCAGTCTCTTTAGGGGACGAGGCGTGGGTGGGGAAGTGGAAAAGGCCAGGATCCATCACAAGCCCTTCTGCACCACATGACTGTTTAATGATGTGCATCTGTGTACGGCTTTGGTAGGGGTGGGATGGACTGGGAGGAAAATCAGGTCACCAAGTCAAGTATTAGCAAGAAATAAACTGAGTAAAGCCTTCTAAAGTGACTGACACTTACCTACTGGGGCCTGGGGGGCTCCAAAGCCCAAAGTGGCTGTCGTAGTATTAAATCCAGGGGCCCCAAAGGCTCCTGTACCAAGAGGCCCTCCGATCTTAGGTTGGTTGTTCCCAAACAAAGATGCCTGTCCAGCACCAAGAGCTATGGAGACAAGAGGAAAGAAAAAGCGCCACAGGAGATCCTTTGAATGTTATGCCAGAGGTCAGTTATTTAAAAATATAATACATTTGGAAACTTCATAATGACCACTCATTTCAACAAGAGTATGTAATACAGTAAATGCTAATTATTGCCAGGCACTGTGCGGAGTACATTATATACATCAGAGGCAAAATATTTAACCTCTCTGTGCTTCAGTTTCCTCAACTATAACATGAGATAGTAATACACAGATATCTATCCTAAGGTTAAAATGAATAAACACATATTAAGTATTTACAAGAGGACTAGTAAATACTAATACTCATTAAACATTAGCTAGTATCTCACTTAATCTTCGTAAGCCTGAAGTAGGAAATAACCACATTTAACAGATGAGAAAACTGAGGGTTTAGTAATCAGCTCAATGTCACAAATGTAGTAAATGGTGAAAATGAGGTTCAAACGTTGGTGCATCTGACAATACAATCAGGGTTCTTAACTGCTACACTACAGTAATACAGAGTTTGAAAGAATTAAAAAATAATCAAGTCTCCTTAAATTTCAGTATTTGCAAATCAAAATACGCAGATGAACCAAACACAATGTCATCTTTTTGACTAACTTATAGACTAAACTATAGAAAACCAAACCCAATACATCTTCTTTGAATAGCAAAAGTAATACTTTCAAATATACCATCTCATGCAAACTACACCAAGACAAACGTTTTGTTTTATAAAAAGCTAAATGGGGGCACCTGGTTGGCTTAGTTGGAAGAGAGTGTGATTCTTGATCTTGTGGTCATGAGTTAAGAGTCCCACTTGGAGTATAGAGATTACTTAAATAAGTAAAACTTAAAAAAAAAAAAAAAAGCTAAATGCCTTGCGATGTGCTTACTGAGCAGACTCAGGTTTCATAATGAATCAGACCGGATAGAATAAAAACTTATTTTCACCAAGGGGAACCCCACTGCAGAAACTTATGTTTTAAAGCCTAATGAATCTTGCTTATGGATCTTGTTGTTGGCAGTGAAAATGGGATGAATTTATTTAAAATAAATTATTGGCACAAAAATTTTTTTTTTTTTTTTTTAAAGATTTTATTTATTTATTCATGAGAGACAGAGAGAGAGAGAGAGAGGCAGAGGGAGAAGCAGGCTCCCAAGGAGCAGGGAGCCCGATGCGGGACCCGATCCCAGGACTCCGGGATCATGACCTGAGCTGAAGGCAGACGCTTAACCATCTGAGCCACCCAGGCGCCCGGCACAAAAATTTTTTAAAAATTTCCATCACCTCCTCCTCAAAAAGTTACTGGCAATTTAGAAGATCTAAAGTTCCTTTTAACGCAACAATGCATCTTGAGCGAGATAAAATCATTTCAAAGATATAATACTTAGAGGTCAAAAATATGGAGGGACACCTGGGTGGCTCAATCAGTTAAGCTTCCGAGACTTGATTTCACAGCTCAGGTCATGATCTCAGAGTTGTGAAACTGAGCCCCCCATTGGGCTCTGCACTCAGTGTGGAGCCTGCTTGAGATTCTCCGTCTTCCTCTGCACCTGCCTGCACTCTCTTTCTAAAATAAATCTTAGGGCGCCTGGGTGGCTCAGCTGGTTAAGCGACTGCCTTCGGCTCAGGTCATGATCCTGGAGTCCCAGGATCGAGTCCTGCATCGGGCTCCCTGCTCGGCGGGGAGTCTGCTTCTCCCTCAGACCCTCTTCCCTCTCGTGCTCTCTCTCTCTCATTCTCTCTCTCTCAAATAAATAAATAAAATCTTTAATAAAAATAAAAAAAAAAAAAACCAGGAAGTCTATACTCAGAGAATCCATACAATATAAATTAGTGAGGGTAACTACTAAATGGACAAAACATTCCTTAACTGTATAACCTCATTAATAACAAGAAGACAACAATGTACAAAGGGATTATTTCTCCCAAAGCCCAGCTTTAGAATAGGAAATAAGACTCCTTTTGAAGTTGCAAACCATTAGAAATTGGTGAAAATTCCAAGAAAAACTGAAATTACTTCCTTGAAGGACATAGTTTACAACACAAATTTCAGAATTCTTTATTTTTCCAGGTAACAAATACCTCTTTACCCCCTGAACAAAAACTTAGAAGAAACCCAAATACATAAAACAGACAGGGATGCCTGAGTGACTCAGTTAAGCATCTGCCTTTGGCTCAGGTCATGATCCCAGGGTCCTGGATCAAGTCCAGCATCAGGATCCTTGCTCAGTGGGGAGCCTGCTTCTCTCTCTGCCTGCTCCCCCTGCTTGTGCGCACTCTCTCTCTCTGACAAACAAACAAATGAAATCTTTTTAAAAAAATAAAAAAATAAAATGGACAAAAATTTCTCATCTGGATGGGTGTATTTTCCTCACCTTTGTAGCAGTCCTTGATGAAGAACCATGAAAGTCTAAAAACCACTGTTATTTCAGTAAGCCAAAAAAGAATAAAAAAGGCATTGGGAGGTTCAGGTGACCTGGAAAGAGACTGTCATAAAGTGACCTGTCTGCATACTGTTGCAATTTATTAAAGGAAAAATATGCATTTTATCCAGAGCTATCTCCTATTATGCAAATGGATTTTTATGCTTAATGAAAGGACCTACTAATAGTCCACAAGGGACATTCTGATGGAAGATAATGTCAATTTATAAAATGTAGTGTATTTATAATTAGTTGTAGGAATCATAAAGCAGATATATGGGGAGCACCATGGTAATAGTGGCCCTAGAAACTCCAAGGATACTCAAGAGAAAAGCAAAAATGGTTATATTCCTTTTGAGATCTTCTAATAAACATTAAAATTTAATTTTATTTATGGTATCTGTTACTTTGGGTAAATTTTTCTGCGTATGAACTTTACTAGATGTACCCTTAAACTTATTACTTCATGGAAAATTTTTAAGAACTAAAATTTCTTAGTATTATCAAGTAACTACCGAGAAAATGCCATACTACTGATAGTGCCAATGACAGTTACTATCACTGTCAAATCAGAAACTTATACTCCCATGATTTAATGAGTATTCCTTAGTCCAAGCACATCAGGTGGGAAAATATCACACGCCAAAGAACAACATAAAATGTTTTTACAGGAAAATTTGTTATAGGAAATTTTACTTTTGCTGAGGTAGGAGTCTGAATCTCCATCTCTCAAAATAAAAGGAGTATGAATCTCCATCACTCAAAAAAAAGGTGCACAGAATACCCACTTAGCTAGTGCCCCAAAAAGACATCACCCAAAGCTACAGTGCTATTCTACTTGTGACACCATGAAATGCAGAGTTCATGAACGTGGGTATTTACATATAACATCTCAAGACACACCGCTCTCAAAGCCTAAAGTCTGCTTTAGCAGAGGTGACCATCAAAGAATTCCAACAGTGTATGCATGGTGGTTCACAGAACTCTCATTTCCCTACAGGATCTACTGCTGCTAAGGTTGGAGGCGTAAAATTCTTTACTGATTGTATTTGGGTTTTAGTTTATACAAACAAAGCATGAATGAGGGATATATTACAGCAGTAAAAATGTTACCTGTTGTCTCTGAGGTAGAACTACTTAAGGAAAACTGAACATATTCAAAAATAAACAAAAAGGTTGAGAAATTACATTATTGTGGAAGAGAAAATGATAGCATTAGAAAAAGCTATATGACATTATATATACTTGGGACTATAGGAGAAGGCACTGCTAATAACCTGCAAGACCTAGAAGCCAAAAAGGAAAGAATGACAACTTTAACCACATAAAAATAAAACTTGTGGAGCGCTTGGGTGGCTCAGTTGTTAAGCGTCTGCCTTCGGCTCAGGTCATGATCCCAGGGTCCTGGGATCGAGCCCTACATTGGGCTCACTGCTCCGCGGGAAGCCTGCTTCTCTCTCCCTCTCCCACTCCCCCTGCTTGTGTTCCCTCTCTCGCTATGTCTCTCTCTGTCAAATAAATAAATAAAATCTTTAAAAAAAAATAAAATAAAAATAAAACTTGTACATGACGATACCATAAAATTAAATGGTAAACTTAAACACTTGGCGGAAATATCTGTAACAGACATTAAAGTAGCATCTTACCTGAGCTTTAGGTTTATGGTTCACCAACTGTCTAGAGTCAAAACTACCCTTGAAAAAGCTTGTAATCTGCCCACACCAAAGTTAATTTTACCTCCAGGATTAGAAGAAAACACTGATGTCAGATGATATATTCTGCTTAAGTTTAGGGTTCACACTACACAAAAACTACAGCTTTTTAATTTTTATTTCTTGTAAAATATATGTGATAGAATTTGGGTAAGTTAAAAGTTCAAATAAAACTCTACCATACAACCCAAAAGAGTTAATATCCACAATATATAAAGCACTCTCAAAAACAGATGAAGAAACAATGATCAAATATTATGAATAAGGAATTAAAATTCAAATGGCCAGTAAACATACGTAAGGGTATCCTTCATCAGTAATCAGTGAAGTGCAAATCAGAATACACCAATTTCCACTATCATGCATGTAAAGATGAAAAAGTCCAACAATATGGAAAAGTATGGGAAAAATGAGCACATTAATACAATGAGAGCAAAAATTCATACTGGCATTCTTTTTGGAAGGCAAATTAGCAAGACTGACCAAAATTCAAAATGTGCGTACCTTCTGACCCAATTCCAGCTATCAATCCCATAGTAATACTAACACATACAAAATTATGTAACAAAGATCTTCACTACTGCATTGCTAATATCAAATAACTCAAATGTCTACTAAAAGGGAAAAACTGAATTATGTTATGTGTATGTATTTATGTGTCATGTGTATATACGCACATATATACACAATGGAATACTGAACAGTTATTTTTAAAGAATAAGTCAGGGCGCCTGGGTGGCTCAGTTGGTTAAGCGACTGCCTTCGGCTCAGGTCATGATCCTGGAGTCCCGGGATCGAGTCCCACATCGGGCTCCAGTCCCACATCGGGCTCCCTGCTCAGCAGGGAGTCTGCTTCTCCCTCTGACCCTCTTCCCTCTCGTGCTCTCTCTCATTCTCTCTCACATAAATAAAATCTTTAAAAAAAAATAAAATAAAATAAAGAATAAGTCAGATCTATATATATACTGACCAAAGAAAAAACTATATGCCCAAAATGTCATGGGAAATGAAAAAATGAAATACAGAATACCATGTAAGGCAGTTGCTTTCAGTTTGAAACATTTTTGACTATAGCACACAATATGAAATACACGGAGACCCATAACACACACACACATAACTAAAACAAAAATTAAATATTTAACCTTACTTTGTACAATGAGTTTTCCATTCTAATATTTTTTTCCTTAAATGCTGTTTGCAGCCCACTATATAACTATTACATCCAACTAACGTACCTCAGCCTTTGGTTTAAAAAAACCACTCATGTAGGATATGGTTTCTATTTAAGAATAGAAAATACATAAAACACACATGTACAACTGTATGTGTTTGTACAATTTGAAAAATGAAAAAAAATGTACAAAATGTACATAAAGGAGTCTGACAAGAACATGCCACACTTTCAATAGCTGTTACTTCACAAGTGATATACGTTGACTTATCATGGTACTTCTGTATTGCTGAATTTTTTTAAAGCACTTATATCTTTTATTTAAAAAGGAAAATGGAAGGACATAGTTCATAGAGTATAAAATGAGGTTCTATTAAAAAGGAAAGGACAGGGGTGCCTGGCTGGCTGAGTTGGTGGAACATACAACTCTTGATCTCAGGGTTGTGGTTCAAGCCCCACACTGGGTATAGAGATTGCTGAGTAGTAAAATCTTAAAAAAAAAAAAAAAAAGAGAGAGAGAGATGAAAGATAAGTGATCAGAGCATACAAACAAAGACAAGAGATAACTGGATAGTGGGAGCAGAGACCATGGAAATAAATGGTTTGCAACTAAATGACCACACACCCATGGTCAGATGACTTGAGAAATAGACAAAACTATATGCTTTAACAACCTTGTTGGAACTATACATGCTGTTACTCATTTATGACCATTACCACTCTTGTATTCTTTAAAACAGTTTGGCAGGCAGAAGGGTCAATGTCTTCAAAGGCACTAAAAAATAAATTATCAATAGTAGGAACAGAGACAAAGATATGACAGCTCTACATCAAGGTGGAAAGAATTGAGAGGTATGCACAGACCTTATTAAAACCTCAGAGTATTTGCTAATTACTTCAACTAATGCTCTTACTGCTCTCTCTTACTATTAGGGTCATAAAGCTTACTTGATTAACAGTTCAAAGTCTCAAATGCCTGCCTGTTACAAAGGTAGCACAAGGGAACTGAAAGTTAATAATGCCATCATACTGACAAGTCTCACATTAAATACTAAAAATCCCAGATAGACTGGGACTATCAGAAGAAAAACATTTTATAGAAAGGGAGCATACAACTTTTAAGATAAAACGTCCAAATGTTTTAAAACCTGGTAAAGCAAAACTGCTGGGAATGTTTTTAAGTCCATTTGTGAAAATGCAAATCTAGTCCTCTTATTCTCAGGCATATGATCAAACAGAGGTCTTAAGTTCCAGCAATTAGAAAGCCAAGCTGTGTCACTTCCTAAATCTCATGGTACAGTTCCTTACCTGTTCCAAATCCTGCACCAAGCCCAGTTCCCAGAGTCCCAGGTCCTGGTTTACTTCCAAAAATACTACTCCCACTGGTGTTTGTGCCAAAACCTAGAAAGACAAAAGAATGAGTGGACTGTACTGTTAACACAACTCTCAATTTCCTATACAAGGGAATTTTTAAAAAGGCTGACTCTAAGCTTTGCATCCTGTCAGTTATTAATATTTAGAAATCGTAAATGGTAAGCTAACTTAACCTTTTTAAAGAATTTTAATTTTGATGCCTATAAACAGATCCCAAAATCTTCCTATTTAATTATGTTTCAGACTTGAAATATTCACCAGATAATATCCATTAAAGTGATTGTGCTTGAGCATATACATTCCCTTTGTAAGACTCAGAGCCTCAAACCTATTTTTCATGTGTAATTAATGGAAGAAAAATGCATTCCCTCAAACTTTCACTAAAAATAAGATAGGGTGCCTAACTGGCTCAGTCAGTAGAGCACGTGGCTCTTGATCTCAGCATCGTGAATTTGAGCCCCACAATGGGTAGAGATTACTTAAATAAATAAACCTTAAAATATACATATATTAAAAATAAGACAATCTCAAAGACACTTTACTGAAGCTAACGGTTCTTGCTAACAGAAATTCACCTATAAAAATCTCTACAGTAGGGCGCCTGGGTGGCTCAGTCGTTAGGCGTCTGCCTTCGGCTCAGGTCATGATCCCAGGGTCCTGGGACCCTGCTCTCAGCGGAAAGCCTGCTTCTCCCTCTCCCATTCCCCCTGCTTGTGTTCCTACTCTATCTCCCTCTGTCAAATGAATGTATTAAATCTTAAAAAAAAAAAATCTCTACAGTAGCTTTGGTTTTGAACAGATGAACCATGTATGGGCAGTAATGTGTGCCTGGCTGATCACACAGGAGGAACTTTAATGGTGTCATACTCAATCAACTCATAGGAGCACTCAAGGACTTAACCAGCTGATATTGAAAGAGAAAATAATCTATAAATAACTTTTCTTGGGTTGAACTGTTTCATTATCACAGATGATGGAGAGTTAAAGAAATCATCCTCCTTCACTATGACCTCCCATCTAGAGAAAAATCCTATGATTCCCCTTGAAAATCCACAGGTTTCACCAAAAGACACCTCTACTGCATTATTGCTATTATTTCCCTTTTGTTCAGATATGTCCACGAAGTTTCTGCACTCCTTTTGGAGCTAAATATCAACAAAATATCCAATGAGCATATCATTCATCTTTTTTTTTTTAAATAAAGATTTTTGTCATTAAAGAATCTCTACACCCAACATGGGGCTCGAACTCAAGACCCTGAGATCAAGAGTTGCATGCTCCAGAGGCACCTGGGTGGCTTAAGTCAGTTGAGCAACTGACTCTTTGTTTTGGCTCAGGTCATGAACTCATGGGTTGTGGGATCAAGCCCTGCATTGGGCTCTGCACTTGGAGGGGAGTTTGCTTGAGGATTCTCTTCCCTCTGCTCCTCCCCCAACTCACTGGAGTGCACATGCACACATGCTCTCTCTCGTTCTCTAAAATAAATAAATAAATCTTTATACAAGAAAAAGAGTTGCATGCTCTAGACTGAGCCAGCTAGGCGTCCCATCATTAATCTCTTTTGATAAGAGGGGGAAAAAAAAAAATCAATCACTGGCCAGCAAACCTTATTCATGGAACACTCAGAAGTCTTTTTAAAAGGTATCATAGAAGGGATCAAGTACAAAAGATAACAGAGTAAAGAGAGTATCCTGAAATATAGGACACTATCACCAACTAAGAATGTTATAGTCAGTCATGCCAATATCTGGATTATCTCAATGAAAGCAAAGAATTTAAACAGTTGGAAAATATATTTCTAATGTCACTTAAAAATGCATGGAATCTGACATAATCTGATACATTTTAAATCATACATTCATTAAAAATTTTCTTCAATTGTACTAATTAATAGCTATGCCACAAAATGGGAGTACTGCTACTCAAGCACAATTTTTTTTAAAGAAGAAAAAAAAAACGGAAAAAATGTACTTGGAGACACTCTTTTTCTTTTTGAGTTAAAATTTAACCAGAAAGGATCTTCCAGCCCAGTAAACAGCAGAAAGTAAGTTACTTGTGAACTACCTCAAACCCACACGAGGGAAATAAGTCCCAACTTACGCTGTTTATACCACACATTTCCTCCGATTCTAACTGACAAAAGTTGATCAACTCTGTTATTTCAAAACAATTTTTAAATGAAAAAGGACAATTAAGTTAATGGTCAATTAGTTTACAACAAAGGAGTTAAGAATATACAATAGGGAAGGACAGTCTCTCCAATTAATGGTGCTGGGAAAACTGGACAGCAAAAGAATGAAACTGGACCACCATCTTACACCATAAACAAAAATTAAAGACTTGAACTCTAAGACGTGAAAGTATAAAACCCCTAGAAGAATACATGGGCATTAAGTCCTTAATATCTGTCTTGGCCGAAACCAGAGAGGGAGACAAACCATAAGAGACTCTTAAACTCAGGAAACAAACTGAGGGTTGCTGGAGTGGTCGGGGGTGGGAGGGATGGGGTGGCTGTGTGATGGACACTGAGGAGGGTATGTACTATGGTGAGCGCTGTGAATTGTGAAAGACTGATGAATCACAGACCTGTACCCCTGAAACAAATACTTTATATGTTAATTAAAAAAAAGTCTGTCTTGGCAATGATTCTTTAGATGTGACACCAAAAGCAAAGGCAACAAAAGCAGAAAAAAACTGGGACTACATCAAACTAAAAAGCTTCTGTACAGCAAAGGAAACCATCAACAAAATGAAAAGGTAACCTACTGAAAAGGGGAAAATATTTGCAAATTACAGACCTGATAAGAGGTTAATATCCAAAATACATAAAGAACTCAATCCGGTAGAAAAACACAATCTAATTAAAAATGGGCAGAGGATCTGAGTTGTTCTCTTTACAAAGAAGACATACAGATGGCCAAAAGACATATGCAAAGATGCTCCACATCATTAATCATCAGGGAAATGCAAATCAAAACCACAATGAGGTATCACCTCACACCTATTAGAATGGCTATTATCAAAAAGACAAAAAATGACAAGTGTTGGTAAAAATGTGGAGAAAAGGGAACCCTTGGTGCACCGTTGGTGAGCATGTAAATTGGTGTAGAAACTGTGGGAAACAGTATGGAGGATCCTCAAAAAATTAAAAATATAAATTCCATATGATCTAACAATCCCACTTCTGGGTATTTATCCAAAGAAAACTAAAAAATTAACCCGGGAAGACATGCACCCCCATATTCACTGCAGCATTATTTACAATAGCCAAAATACAGGAAATAACCTAAGTAGCCATTGATGGATAAACAGATAAAGATGTGATATATACATATAATGGAATATTATTCAGCTGTAAAGGACAATGAAATCTTGCCATTTGTGACAACATGGATGGAATTTGAAAGCATTATGCTAAGTAAAATAAGCCATACAGAGAAAGACAAATACTGTAGGATCTCACTTGTATGTGTAATCTTATAAAACACACACCAAAAAAACAGCTTATAGATACAGACAATAGATTGGTGGTTGTCAGAAGAAGGTGATGGGGGGATGGGTGAAATGGGTGAAAGGGGATCTAAAGGTACAAACTTCCAGTTATAAAATAAATAAGTCATGGGGATGTAATGTACAGCATGGTGACGATAGTTAATACTGTCTTGCATATCTGAAAGTTGCTAAAATAGTAATCCTGAAAGTTCTCATCATACACACACAAAAAATGTATAACTACATATGGTAACATGTTAACTAGTCTTACTGTTAACATGTTAGCAACATGTAAACTAGTCTTATATGATTCGGCAGAAATACCAAATCATATGTCCTACGCCTGAAATTAATGTTGTATTTCAATTGTATCGGAATTTAGAAAAATGAGCTTTAAAAAAAAAAAAGATGTTTAAATATACAAATAGCTCCTTACCTGTCCACTTAACCATATAGTACTGAAGAATCACTGATTTATTGCCCAGCACCATCTTATCAATACCCAAAGAATCAATCTTTTTATTTTTTTAAAGATTTTATTTGTCAGAGAGACACAGAGAGAGCACAAGCAGGGGGAGCGGCAGGCAGAGAGAGAGGGAGAAGCAGACTTTCCGCTGAGAGCAGGGAGCCCGAGGTGGGACTTGATCCCAGGACCCTGGGATCATGACCTGAGCCGAAGGCAGACGCTTAACCATCTGAGCCACCCAGGTGTCCCAGAATCAATCTTTTTAAACTGTTGCTCACAAGTGTTGACATACTGTCTGTAATTCCTCTCCTGAAACAATTCTACTCCTCCATTCATTTGGAAATTCAGACACTATCTTATACTCATTTAATCTTAAACCCGTCCCTCCCAGGAATAATCATTTGCTAAGAAAATGAGCTGATGACTCTAAAGAATGACTTAAGGATCTCACAACACCAACTGTAGTAGCAGGTACCCCAACCTTTAACTCTGTGAATTAATCAGCAGCCAAATGAAACAAAATCCCATAATGGATGTGTGACTAACAATAATATAATGATGCCCTAAATCTTTCTATAATCTTACCCCATTTCCAGATTTGTTATATGGCTTATTTCCAAATCAGAAGACTCTGTCCACAAGCTCAAAGTTGACAACTTCCCAAGAAAACAAGAATATCAAAGAAAGCCTTACTTAGATAGGATCCCTCAAGGTTAGTAATGGGATGTTAAATTCACCCAAGAGTAGAACAAAACTTGCTACCATGCAACCCCCATCTGACTTAGAGGGAATCCTTACTCTTAGGGCCCCATTTATTCACTCATTAATTCATTTAACCAAGTTTTAGTGAGTACCTATTCTATGCCAGGCACTAGGTCAACAATGGGGATTAAAAAAGGAAAAAAAATTAGGACAAGTAAGATTCATCACATAAGCTAGTGAGGCATATTAGATAAAAATGAAATCTTTCACTTTCAAAACATCAAACATGAATATAAATGTATTTATACAACAACAACAAAATCTCCAAACAAATCAGAAATTTGCAATGATGGAAGAACATAAAGTATATTTCAGAAGTCCAGCCCATTTTATCACTTTAGCCTATATAAGCACCCACCTAAAAACAATGTTTGTTTGTTTTTCTGAGCATGAAAGCATGCTACCAAAAAACATGCATTTTCAAAGGAAGGGAAAATTGGTTCTTGAGGGGCTAAATGAATCATAGCTATACAATGGCTTATGGCCCTCCAAAGGGCCACAGTACCTAAACAGATAAACAGAACACATGTGGTATTAAAATCTCACAGGGTGAGAAGATGATTACAAAGCTTTTGGGGGAAGGAGTGACAGTGATGAAAAAAGACTGAAAAACTCTAATTTAACCTTTAAGTATCTTTCCCATCTTAATTTTATAAAATAAACAAGTACTCAAAACAGATACCCATGGTAACCAAGCCTACTGCCTGAAAACCACTCTTTCATAATCAAAAAGAATAGTTGAAATGATAATCACTACTAGGAGTGAGTGAGCAACACAACAAAAAAGGTTAAAAAATCAAATTAAAGGGGCACCTGGGTGGTGCAGTTAGTTAAGCGTGAACTCTTGGTTTCACTTCAGCTCATGATCTCTGGGTCGCTCAGCACAGAGCCTGCTTGGGGACTCTCTCTCCCTCTCCCTCAACACCCTTCTCCCCGCGCTCGTGCTAAAATAAATACATAAATCTTTTAAAATATCAAATCGGGGGCGCCTGGGTGGCTCAGTCGATTAAGCGTCTGTCTTTGGCTCAGGTCATGATCCTAGGGTCCTGGGATAGAGCTCCACATCAGGTTCCGTGCTCAGTGGGGAGCTTCCTTCTCCCCCTCTCTCTCTTTCTCTCAAATAAATAAATAAAATCTTTATTAAAAAAATAAATAAGGGTGCCTGGGTGGCTTAGTCGGTTAAGCGTCTACCTTCAGCTCAGGTCATGATCCCGGGGTCCTGGGATCGAGTTCCACATCAGGCTCCCTGCTCAGCGGGGAGTCTGCTTCTCCCTCTGCCCCTTTCCCCTGCTTGTGATCTCTATCAAATAAATAAAATCTTTAAAAAAATAATTAATAAAATTAAGTACAAAAATTTACGAACTGGTACCTATTTCCTTCACATATGCATTTCTGTAAAAACATATCACCTTCTAACAGATGCTTAATGTAGTCTCTTTCTCTAGTACACTACAAGACCATTCAAAAAACACTGAAAAACTGTAAAACTCTGTAACTGAGCCAGCCAGGCACTCCAATAACCATGTCTTTTCATTCATTTCACACTAAATACCCCCTGTGCCTAATAATATATCTGGCACATAAAATCCTTAAGAGATATTGGTCATGAAACGAAATTTCTTTATCTAACAAATTATTAACATAATTTGTGTAAAATTTGATTAAGAACTTAGTTACAGAAGACATTTAGAATAATATAATGTTTCTATGAAACAAGTTTAATTTTTCCAACATATTTCTGAATAGTAGTTTAGGGTTATTTTTTAATTATTATTCAATCTTATCTGTATTTCCCAAATTTTTAAAAATGAACATGCAATCAAAAATATACTTTTGCAGCTTGAGGGAAAGCTTCAATTTTCAGTAAGAATCACACAATCTCAAAAAAAAATTATTGAAATCTCAAAAAACAACTAAAAATCAAAACAAAAATGACAACAAAGAACATTTAAAAAAATCATCAAATCTCATTTGTACACTACTTCCCTGTTTGAAACCTGGCCTAAAACAATGTGTTCTTTCAACCGAATGTGTTTCATTTCTGGTTTCTCAACTACTGGTGAAGTAAAATAAAGAAAATCTATTTCCTTATTTTGGAAAAAATCTATCTCCATTAGAGAAGCAACTTTCTACAAGGTACCACTGCATGTGTTGAATGGCCCATTTTATCCAAAGCAGGCAAGTAAGAGACTAATAATGAGGTAAGGCAATTTACATCTTTTCTAAGTATGTCAACCCAAGTCCATGACTTTAAATCTTTCCCTCTGGTACCTCACATCAAGCCACAGCTTACCTGAGAATTTTTAAATATTCCCAATCATATGAATCAGGAGAATGATGTGTGGTATAGTCAGTGTAACTTTAAGAGAGCCAAACCTGCTTTTTATATGTACCAAAATTGGAAGTGTTTGTATTGGTTCCTAAAGTCAGGGTTGGTTTGTTACCAAAGAGCCCGCCACTGGTTGTACCAAATGAAGGAGCACTGGTTGTGCTGGTTCCAAATGTAGTAAGCTTGTTATTGCCAAACAGGGTCTAAAAAGAATAAAACACAGGAAAATTTTAAGAAGTATAAAGATTCACTCCAAACAACAAATAGAGGTTACCTCAGGTAAACTGGATTGAGGATGAGGTAAGCAAGAGAAGATGTCATAACTTTTATGAAAAAATAGGTGTAATGTGAATAAAGACTATCAGAAAAGTACACTAATCTGAGCAGGATTAATTTTATAGAGCATGCTCCTAGCCTAAGAAGTTAATGGCAACCCTGCAGCAAACACAGCATTACAGCGGGGCAAAGAAAACAATAAAGTAATCAAATATTTCTTTACCTGGTAACAGAAAAGTATCATGTATTTAATTTGCCAGTATAAACAGTTATAATAAAAAATTTAAACATGTTAGAACATGGATGAGCCTTCAAAATATTACACTAAGTAAAAAAATCAGTCACAAAAGACTACACATTATGTGATTCCATTTATATGAAATGTCCAGCATAGATAAATCTGTAGACAGTAAGCCTGAGGTAACTAGGGAGAAATGAAAAGTGACTACTAATGAGCATGAGATTTCTTTTTATTAAGATGATGAGTATGTTCTAAAATTGACTATGGTGATAGTTCCACAATCCGTTGGTATACTAAAAACCACTGAATTATAAGCCTTGAAAGGGTGAACTGTATGGCATATGGATTATATCTCAATAAAGTGGTTATTAAAAAGAACTTTTTGAAGTATTATATAATTTTCTCAATTTCTCATCTCAATTAGCTGCCCAAAGAAAAATTAGGAAATAACATATTTTAATTTCCATGAAAATCACATTTTGGAATTTTTCTTTTCTAATTAGCCACAACAGCATGTTCAAAGCTTTTTTTAATGGGTACATAATACAGATTGGCTGTTTCATACTAATTCTCATATAGTTAAGTGGCCATACAGAATTTACTATTATTTTTAGGTCAAGTGCTCTCCTAAATAGTTTTTTACTTAAATGACTTAACAAGGAACACAATTTAGTTAAGCCTCCACTGCAGGAAAACCATGAGACCGCCAACAATTTTAGCAATTTAGAATGTTTAATTCTCAAGTATCATACCGACTTATCACCCCAAACAGAGGTTAGATATAGCAATTAAAAATCACCCGCTTTTAAAAATGAAAGCACTTCAATTTAGACTCAATTTAACCAACTGGAGTGATATTTTGCTATCAGAAGTAAATTGTACATAAGCATTGAGGCAAAGAAGTTTAAAAAAGAACTTACTACTTGAAAATTAACCTACTGAAGTTACCTGGTTATTCTTTTTTGCACCAAATAGCTTTAGTTATATCAGTATCAAGTCATATAATGTATCCAGTAAAAATACTTGAAAGATAGTTAAATCTTTCTTAGAAATTCCTTTAACAAATGTATATATATCTTCAAATTAGAATCAACTGTAAAAACCTACCGAACCAACAGCACCAAATCCAGTGTTGGGTTGCCCAAAGAGACCTGTTCCTGTTCCAAATGCTGTCCCAGTGCTGGTGTTTGTAGCTGTCCCAAAAAGACCTCCAGGCTGTGAGGCCTGGGTCACTCCAAATAAACCCTGCAAAAAGTAATCTACATTAAAAGATATCCTACAACAGTCTGTCTTCTTTAAGAATCTTAGATTAATAATAGTTGCCATTTTAAAAAAGTTTATTTGATATATATTATGCTAAATACATAGAGCATTTCTTTTCTTCACAACAACCCTGATGAGGAGGGTCATTTAAAAAAACAAAACAAAACAAAAATCCCACCTCGGGGCAGTTCAAAACTTGCCCAAGATGTCATAGCTCCTAATTGACAGGACCAGAAATTCATACCTACATCTAAGCCCAATGAGCTCCAAGGTCCTGGGCAGGTAATAAGACTTTATACTAACTCTTATGCTCTAAGAAACAGCAGGGTTGCAACACTGAAAACAAAACAATATGACAGAATGCTTCATTTTCAGAGAGTTATGCTGAAAGAACTAATCAATACTGAGCTGTGGAATGGATTTTGAATCAAGTAACTGAAAACAATCAGAAGAAATAATCTGGACAGAGGCAGGAGTGTAAAGTCTTTTTTTTTAAAGATTTTATTTATTTATTTGTCAGAGAGAAAGAGATCACACAAGCAGGGGGGAACGGCAGGCAGAGGGAGAAGCAGGCTCCCCACTGAGCAAGGAGCCTGATGCGGGACTTGATCCCAGGGCCCTGGGATCACAACCTGAGCTGAGGGTAGACGTTTAACCCAGCAACCCAGGCATCCCAAAGTCGTCTTAATTTGAGATAAGAAACTACACTCACTTCAAACAAGCAAAGTTCATATCCAATGTTTAAGAAGGTATTTTATTTATGCATTAGTTAATGACAACAAAAAAAATACTGCACTAATGGACTATTATTGCTGAATGGAGAATTCAACAGTGTTGGGTTTTTTGTTTGTTTTTAAAGATTTATTTATTTGGAAACAGAGAGAGAGAACGTGCGAGCCCATGTTGCGGGTAGGGAGATGGGGAGAAGAGGGAGAGGGTGAGAGTCTCAAGCAGACTCCCCACTGAGCATGAAGTCTGATGTGGGGCTCGATCTGACATACCTGAGCTCACGACATGAGCCCAAACCAAGAGTCAGACGCTTGACTGAGCCCACCCAAGTGCCCCAAACAGTGTTTTTAAACAGCTTTACTGAGACATAATTCACATACCATAAAATTTACCCATTTAAAAGTTCACTATTCAGGTTTTTTTCCCTATGTTCAGACTTATGCAATTACCCCTACTCTCTAAATTTAGAACATTTTCATCACTCCAAAAAGAAACCCCAGGCCTGTTAAGAATCACTCCCTATTCCTAGGCAATCAATCACGAATCTACTTTTTGTTTCCATGGATTTGTCCATTCTGAATATTTTGTATGAATGGAATCCTATAAAATGTGGTCCTTTGTGGATAGCTTAACTTGTTTAAACTTGGCATGTTTAAAAGGTCCAACCACGTTGTAACATTTACCATTCCATTTATGGCCGAGTAATATTCCACTGTATGAACACACATTTTTTAAAATTCATTCATTAATGGACATTTGAGATGTTCCTACATTTTGGCTATGTTATAATCATTTCTGTACAAATTTTTGTTTTCTCATTTCTGCTGGTGAAATACCAGGGTGTGCAATTACTGGGTTAAATGGTAACTCTGTGTGTAACATTTTGAGGAACCACCAAACTGTTTTCCAAAGTGGTTGTATTATCTTACATTCCTACCAGCAATCTATAAGGTTTCCAATTTCTCCAAATTTTTGAAAATACTACCATCTAGCTTTTTATGCCTTCCTTGTGGATATGAAGCAGTGTCTCACTATGGTTTTGACTTGCACATTCCTGGTGACTACCAGAGTTGAGTATTTCTTCATGTGCTCATTAACCATTTGTTTATCTTCTTTGAAGAAATACCTCTTCAAGTCTTGGGCTCATTTTTAATGGGTTATCGTCTTACTGAATCATTAAAGTTATTTATATATTCTGAATCCAAGTCCTTCATAAAATATATAACTTACAACTATTTTCTACCATCTGTGGGTGTTCTTTTCTCTTTCTTGATGGTATTCCTTTGACCCACAAGTTTTAATTTTGATAAAGTCCAGTGTATTTTTTTCTTTTGCGTTTGGTATCATTTCTAAGAAATGATTATCTAATTCCTTTTCTTGTTAGAATTTTATAGCTTCAGCTCTTATATTTAAGTATTTGATCCATTTTGAGTTAATGTGTATAGCTGCTACATGGTGGGAAGAAAGGGTTCAGTTGCATTTTTTTTTTCCAACTGCATTTTTATGCATTAAAAAATCAATTGTCCTAGGGGCACCTGGGTGGCTCAATCAGTTGAGCGTCCAAATCTTCATTTTGGCTCAGGTACTGATCCCAGGGTCGTGGGATTGAGCCCCATGTTGGGCTCTGCACTCAGCAGGGAGTCTGCTTCTCCCCCTCCCTCCCACTCACAAACTCTAAAATAAATAAATATTTTTTTAAAAAGAAAGAAAAAAGAAAAATCAATTGTCCTAGCACCATTTGTTGAAAAGAGTATTCTTTCCCCATCGAGAATTGTTTTGATATTTTACTGCAAATTATTTGTCTATAAATTTGAGGATTTATTTCTGGACTCTCAACTCCATTCCACTGATCTGTATGTCTAGCCTTATGTCAGTACCACAGTCTTGATTACTATTGCTTTATACTAAACTTTAAAATTGAGACATGTGGGGTGCCTGGGTGGATCAGTCATTAAGTTTCTGCCTTCAGCTCAGGTCATGATCCCACAATCCTGGAATCGAGCCCCGCTCTCGGCGGGAAGCCTGCTTCTCCCTCTCCCACTCCCCCTGCTTGTGTTCCCTTTCTCGCTGTGTCTCTGTCAAATAAAATCTTTAAAAATAAAATAAAATAAAATTGAGACATGTGAGTCTTCTAGCTTTCTTCTTTCTCAAGATTATTTTGGCTATTCTGGGTTCCTTTCTATCCTTTTTTGAGTGTTTTTATCATGAAAGGGTGTCAAACGCTTTTTCTGTACCTACTGAGGTCATGTGGTTTCTGTTTTTTATTGTTTTTCTTTTATCCTTTTTTTTTTAAGTGGGCTCCATGCTCCCCCCACCCCACGTGGGCTTGAACTCATGACCCTGAGATCGAGACCTAAGCCGAGATCGAGTCAGAAGCTTAACCAACTGAGCCACCCAGGCATCCCTTTTTTATTTCTCTGGTTTATTAATTTTTCTATGCTGAGCCAACATTCTGGGATGAATCCCACATGGTCATGGTTATAATCCTTTTAATGTTACTGAATTTTGTTTGCCAGTATTTCTAAGATTTTGGGGTCTGGCTGTAATTGTTTTTTAATCAGATAAAGTATCTTTAACTTAAAGGCCAGCTAAATTCCAAGAATTTGAATCAATAAATCATATCTCTTATTAATCTTAATTTTATTCTTCCCTAAAGGAGTCCTTAGAAATAAACTGGTAGAGACTCTAAACACTTCCTCTTTTGCTTTTTGCACAGAAGTACCAAGTATCCAATATCGCTGAGTTTTAATGCTCCCTTATTTATTTTAATGAATTACACACCTTTGCCTGACCCCAAAGATGAAAGAATACTCTGAAATACAGCCAGTAATTTATAAGTATTCTCTCCTATTATTCTACAGAATGGGTAGAGCCAATGTCCTACGGTGTAGCCTTCAGGATGGCCAATTCTAACACACTAAGCAGCTCAGAAAGTAGAGGTAACTTGCTCAACAGCCTCTCAATAAGTAAAGAATAGAGCCTGTACTAGAATCTAGGTTTTAATTTTTTACATTTTGCTCTTTCCTTTACTACATATAATCAACCCTTAAGAACTACACTAGAGGTAGAACTTGCTAGTTTGACATGATTAGAAGCCTCATTACTTAGCTCTATGAATGTAAGATGTGGCGTTAACTAAGCGTCTGGCTGCTTACCATGGTGCTGGTGCTTGGCTGTCCTAGTGTGCTGGTATTACCAAAAGAAAAGCCAGTGTTCTGGGTGGTTGTGGCCTGTCCAAATGGTTTGCTGAAGAGGCTGGTAGTCTGCTGATTCTGTTGTCCAAAGAGACCACCCGGATTTGTTCCAAATCCAGTGGTACCTTTCAGAAAGAAAAAAATAAAAATAAATGGAGAAAAAAAACCCTCAAACCTTACATTACTCAGTTACTGCAACAGCCTCAATATTCTTGAATACATATCTAAATTACCCTACATTAATTCACTACTCAAACTACATAAACATTTCACTTCCCATCCTTTTTCACCTAACTTGGATTTCGTTCAGACTTTAATTCCTACAATAATACTCTGACCCCAAGAACCCTGGCTGGGCTAAGTAATTTTCCTCTCGTGAGTCCAAAACTTTCTACTTTACAAGATACCACACCACACTCAAAATCTGTATGTGTATTTTAACCCTGTTAGACTAAGTTTTTCTTGAGAACAGAGGCTTTCTCTTTAGAATTCCAGCATAGAATACATTGTACTTGATAATGAATATACGGCTAAGCTACATCATAGAATACCAGGATTGAAATGAATGTTAAATGCCACTTAAACATGTATTTATCTGTGTATTTGTGGGTGTATATAAATCTCTCTAAAAGATCACGAAAAAGTCTAACTTTAGCTTGTTTCTATGGAGGAAAAATGGTAGCTAGGGGAGGGAAAGAAGATAACTTTGGTTACAGACTTGTGTCTCATGAACTTTTTATCATATATATGTATTACCTGTACAAAAGTAATAATTGTATTAAAGTAAATTAGTCCTCATCCTAGACTTCCCACTTTCACATTCCACATCAAAGCAATCTATTAGCAAATCCCATCAGTTCTATGTTCAAACTGAGTCCAGAATCTGACATTTTTACCACTTCCATCTCCTTAGCCAACCCACCATCATCTCTTATGTGAATGAAGCAATAGCTTTGCTAACGGATTTGTTTTCACCGTTGCCCCTTACAACCTACTTTTTCTTTTTCTTGAGTTTCTGACCTTGATACAACGTAGTGATTCCACAAGTCTCTGGGTTATGCTATGCTCTTAAATGTAGCTACCACAATCTACTCTATTTAATAGAGCAGGCTTCAGATGATCCTTCACTCATAATCACATGACTTCTCTTTCTACAACTTCTAATGGCTTCCCAACTCAAATAAAAATTCAGATCTTGACATTGGCCCACAAAGTCCTATAAGATAAAGTCCCTATATCCCTCAATACTTCTCCTTAGTCCTTATCTCTTTGGAAAAAAACCCAGGGTTTTAGACTTATAGCTTCCTCTGGCTGTTCTTCCCCAGCAATTTGTACAGCTTTATCCTTCGCCTTCTTCAGAGGGGTCACTGTTCAAATGCTACCTTATCATAGTGAGGCCCTTTTTAACCATCTTCATTTAAAACTCTATTTCTCTCCATCCCCACATACATATCACTCTATTCCTCCAAAATCACTGAATTATTTTTCTCCATAGCATTTATCACAAAATGACAATTATGTTTCAGTTGTCTGTCCCTCCTCAATATGGTGCCAAGTGCTTACTAGTTCCAAAGGCTGTTTTGTTCTGACCATATGCAAAGCCTGAATTAGTGGTAGAGGAGCTGAAGAGTCCTGTCGCACTGGAGGTGGCTGGAGAAGACCCAAACAAGCCAGCTGTGGTACCTGCTCCCACTTGGTTCTGCGGGCCTTTCCGGTTAGCCTGATAATCCTCTAAACGAAGTTCCTAAAGGAAGAGAAAGCATATTTCCTATCTTTACATGTGACCAAAAAAAATTATTTAGGAAACTACTTAAATTTAGAATTCAATTTCCATGTTCACATACAAACCATGACTAAAAAACAGAAAACTATAGAACATTGACTTAATATCGTTACAGAAAAACACTTTCAATAGTGTAGAATGGACATTAAGATCCATATCATAATCACTAACACTACAGGCCAAAGGACTAACCAATCTTAATTTTAATTTTCTTTTGTAAACAGTAGTACTTTCTTTTAGTAGAATGCTATATAATTTTATCTACTCCCACCCCAAATGTAAAATTAGCTAAAAGATCAAGGATTCTGGGATGGGGTGAGAGGTCTCAGAAAATTAGGGAAAGAAGGGATGAAGTCTGACATTAACAGTTTTGCCTCACAAGTCAGGGTGTTTCCAATAAAGCAAGTATAGTCTGGGATGTAGAGGAAGCAACAGTTACAATCAGGGTTGACACTCAAAATATACAAGACACTATCACACACCAGTAGGAATGAACAAACTGGGGCGCCTGGGTGGCTCAGTCGGTTAAGCGACTGCCTTTGACTCAGGTCACGATCCCGGAGTCCCAGGATCGAGTTCCATGTCCGGCTCCCTGCTCAGCAGGAAGCCTGCCTCTCCCTCTGACCCTCGTCCCTTCTCAGGCCCTCTCTCTCGCTCTCTCAAATAAATAAATAAAATCTTAAAAAAAAAAAAAAGAATAAACAAACTGTAACTTCACGCAACACCATGGATAAATCCCACAATGTGGAAAAACAGACTTAAAAGTATGTAATGTAAGATTTCATCTATATAAAGTCTGAAATGAGGAAAACATGGACAATCATGATAGTGGTTACCTTTAGAAGGGGACGGAAATCGTGACTAGGGAGGCAGGGCATATGGGGGATATTAGGAATGCTGGTAATGCTCTGTGACTTAATCTGGATCCTGGTTACATGGGTATGTTCACTTCGTGAAAACTTACTATGTGGAACACTTATGATTTTTCATCAGTTTATTAGAAACGTGTGCATGGGGTGTGCCTAGGTGGCTTAGTGGTTGAGCATCTGCCTTCAGCTCAGGTCAGGATCCCAGGGTCCTGGGATTGAGCCCGACATCGGGCTCCCTGCTCAGCGGGGAGTCTGCTTCTCCCTCTGTATGTGCACTCTCTCTCTCTCTCAAATAAATAAATCTTTAAAAAAAAAAAAAGAGTTGTGGAATATTCCTCAAAAAAGCAATTAAAAAAAAAAAAAAACCACATGCATGCCATGTACACACACACTCCCCAGTGTAATGTGAGCAACATAAAATCTATTACAATAGACTACCTAGTAGAACTATACCAGGGTGCCTGGGTGGCTTGGTTGGTTAAACGACTGCCTTCGGCTCAGGTCATGATCCTGGAGTCCCGGGATCGAGTCCCACATCGGGCTCCCTGCTCAGCAGGGAGTCTGCTTCTCCCTCTGACCCTCTTCCCTCTCGTGCTCTCTAGCTCTCATTCTCTCTCTCAAATAAATAAATAAATAACCTTAAAAAAAAATAAAAATCATTTCTTCATTAAAAAAAAACTATACCAGTACTTACAAGCTGAATACTGCCCTGCCTAAAATATGTATAACTACTACATTAATTTAAAAAAATAATTTGGGGGGGGCACCTGGGTGGCTTAGTTGGTTAGGTGTCTGCCTTCAGCTTGAGTCATGACCTCAGGGTCCTGGGATTGACCCCTGCATCAGTTTCCCTGTTCAGCCAGGAATCTGCTTCTCCCTCTCCCTTTGCCCCTCCCCTTCCCCTGCTTACTTGTGCTTGCATGCTCTAGTAAGTAAATAAAATTTTTAAAAAAATAATAATTTGGCTGTGGGGCGCCTGGTTGACTCAATCAGTACAGCATGTGGCTCTTATTCTCAGTTGGGATCGTGAGTTCAAGCCCCACATCGGGCATAGAGCTTACTTAAAAAAAAAGTGTTGTTAGTTTTTTACATACACCCAATGTGAACCACCTGATCCTAAAAATAATCAAAACATTTTTAAAACCTGCTTTCCAACAGAATCAAAAGGTTAGGCTGATATTTCTGTATTGCATTTCACTGACCTCTAGTGACTTGCTTTCATATTCTTTCATAGCAGTAATACACTGGTGCTTGGTACTGATGTTAGTGCTAACTCCAGCTTTAACCATAGTATCTGTACCAGTTGGAGGCTGCAAAGGAAGATAAAGGCAAATTTGAAAGTCTGAAGCAAATGTTTAAGTCCAAACTCTAAATCCCTACTCTCACAGACACAATTCTTTAACTACTGAACTTTACAGTAACTAGTCTTCTGCTAAATGAGACAGTTTCAAGGGTGCTTAATTAAATATACTGCATTTCTGATCCCTCCTCTCCTTACACAAGGTTATCTAAATAAATCAATATCAGTAATAGTTATCACAGATATTAAGCCCATAACCAAGCCATCTAATTATCTACTAAAATACACTTAAGGGGGGGCGCCTGGGTGGCTCAGTCGTTAAGCGGCTGCCTTCGGCTCAGGTCATGATCCCAGGGTCCTGGGATCGAGCCCCGCATCGGGCTCCCTGCTCAATGGGAAGCCTGCTTCTCCCTCTCCCACTCCTCTCCCCCTGCTTGTGTTCCCTCTCTTGCTGTGTCTCTCTCTGTCAAATAAATAAATAAAATCTTTAAAAAAAATAAAATAAAATAAAATACACTTAAGGGGCACCTGGGTGGTTCAGTTGGTTACGTGTCTACCTCTGGCTCAGGTCATTATCTCGGGGTTCTGGGATTGAGCCCCACATCGGGCTCCCTGCTCAGCAAGGTCTGCTTCTCCCTCTCCCTTTACCCCTCCCCCAATTCATGCACACATGCTCACTCTCAAATAAATAAAATCTTTAAATATATAAGGGGTGCCTGAGTGGCTCAGTTGGTTGGGCATCTACCTTTGGCTCAGGTCATGATCCCAAGGTCCTGGGATTGAGCCCTGCACTGGCTCCCTGCTCAGCAGGAAGCCTGCTTCTCCCTCTCCCTCCCTCTGCCCCTTCCCCCTGCTCGTGCTCTTTCTCTAATAAATATTTAAAAAAAAAAAGAAGTACGTAAAATACACTTAAGATTACCTGCATAAGAAAAACTTTATCCAATTTACCCAACATGTACATTTAAACCTGTATTACTTAGGCTTAATTGCCCCCTACCCTGCTCTAAAGTGTCTGCTTTATTTTATTTGTTTAATTTTTTGAAGTGTCTGCTTTATAAGTGTTGCATTTAAGAAATATGGAAGCCTGGCTTTTTCCCTATAACTTTATGAGGAAAAAGGCACAATATGTAACTAAAGATTTCTACATGTATTGTTGTTTTCTCAATTATTGTACTTTCCAAGAGATAACACACAGTATTTTTCACTATCATTTATATTGAATTTTATATTAAATTTAGGGTTCTAAATTCAGTATGTTTCTAAATTCTAAAGTTCAGTTTTGAGGCGCCTGGGTGGCTCAGTCGGTTAACCATCTGCCTTTGGCTCAGGTCATGATCTCTTGAGTCCTGGGATGGAGCCCCACATCAGGCTCCAGCCCCACATCAGACTCCCTGCTCAGTGGGGAGTTTGCTTCTCCTTCTCCCTCTGTCCCTCCACCCTGCTTATGCGCTATCTCAAATAAATAAAATCTTAAAAATAAATAAATAAAAATAAATAAAGTTCAGTTTCTAAATTATGACTTCACCACCTTGCCTAAGAAATTCTTCATTTCCTAGAGTAAATTTTAACAAGAAGTTAAGCCAAGACCTATATGTGCCAGATTTTCTTTAGGCTAACTGCACCTCCAGCCTATTCTAAGTATCTCCCAACCAATCACATCAAGTGGTATCTTATATCAAGTAGTATTCCATACATTTTCATTATCAAATCTTCCACTCTAATCCTCTATCATGTTCTCTCAAAATAGCCAAAGAAAACATCAAACTCTATTGCCCCATTTTGCCATTTCATCAAGAGAAGTTTTATTTTTCATTGGAACACGGAATATTGATGAGTTATTCCATGTATCTCCTTAAAGAGACCCTGTTCTTTTCTAAGACTATTTTTTTAATTTAAATTCATTAATGTATAGTGTATTATTAGTTTCAGATGGCAGAGTTCAGTGATTCATCAGTCTTATATAATACCCAGTGCTCATTACATCATGTGCCCTCCTAACTGTCCATCACCCAGTTACCCCATCCCCCCACCCTCCTCCCCTCCAGCAACCCTCAGTTTGCTTCCTATGATTAAGAGTCTCTTATAGTTTGTCTCCCTCTCTGATTTTGTCTTGAAAGAGGCCCTATTTTCAATAATTTTTTTTAGTTTGCCCCCTCATTCCTTTATATATATAAGGAATGCTGATCATTCAGAGCCAAGTTATGAATGCAATAAATACAAGTTCAACCTCATACTACCTATCGTAATCAACCTTGTGAATATAAATTTGACTGGATTGAGCATGATTCAAATGCACATAATCAAGATTTATGTTTCATGACTTTCCTACCTACTATATAAATATTTGCAGATTTTGTTCTTAACACATCTTTAAAGAAGAGTGAGACTAAACTGTGCATAACTGGAAAAAGGAGAAATTTTACCCTTCATCCTGGCAAAGAGATATACAAATGGAAGAGTAATATATTCCACAAAGACTGGAAGAAAATACTTACATTAAACTTAATAGTGGTCCCAGTAGGAGCAGCTGTAAAACTACTCGGCCCAAAGAGGGAGCCAGATGTGCTACCAAAAGGATTGGAGGTTGTATTTGTAGTACCAAAAAGTCCCCCACTGCTAGTACTTGTTCCAAAATCTGTAAATTAGAAAGAAAAATGAGATGGCAACAGTTAAGAATTTAAGAATCTGTAAGGTATTTTGGAACTGGGCTTTGGAACCATAGCAGCATTACTTTCACATCCTCAAATTTTCTATCTTTCATATATCCCGAGCAAGTACCTTCAAACCTGCTTCATACAGACACATACATAAATCTAGGTTTCCAACTTTGAAGTGAAACAAAATCTGAATCCCTTTGTCAGCTAAGCGTCTATAAAGTTCTTGTTGGGCAAACCTGGAAGACAAGTGAAAAGAAATAGTACTCTATTTCATCATAAATTTTATCATCATAAATTTTATCTCTTTATGAGATAAAATTTCTCCTTTCTTGATAAGACTCCATGCTGAATGAACTTGTCTGTCTGAAAACATCACAATAGACTTCAAAAGGGGTCACAGTATATTTTATTTACATACATTAAGACAAACACCTAAACAAAACCAAAAAGTTCAAAACATACAAATGATCCTATTAGGGCAACCAGATTATTATAAAATTTTGCCCAGTAATTTAGAAAAATTAGTAGGCATGTTATTTTTTAGAATAAATCCCGACTGCCTCACTTTTCCAAAAAGCTGAATTTAAAAAAATTACATAAAAGTGAATTTAACTGGGGCCGCTTGGGTGGCTCAGCTGGTTAAGCGACTGCCTTCGGCTCAGGTCACCGTCCCGGGATCGAGTCCCGCATAGGGCCCCCTACTCAGCAGGGAGTCTATTTCTCCCTCTGACCCTCCTCCCTTTCTCATATGCTCTCTCCCTCTCATTCTCTCTCTCAAATAAATACATAAATAAAATCTTAAAAAAAAAAGTGAATTTAACTGTTATCTAAAGAATATATTTTTCAAAGAGAGATATTACTTCTCAAGAAGTTATACACAGGGTACAGAAATGTCAGTAAGCAATAAAGTTATCTGCCAGTATTTAATAGTAAGTGACATCCTAATCACCAATTTAAGAGGAATCAGATTTCACACTGGCCAACTATTTCTTTTCTAAATACATGTCCTGGGGCGCCTGGGTGGCTCAGTTGGTTAAGCGAATGCCTTTGGCTCGGGTCATGATCCTGGAGTCCCATGATCGAGTCCCCATCGGGCTCCCTGCTCAGCGGGGAGTCAGCTTCTTCCTCTGACCCTCCCCTCTCTCATGTGCGTGCTCTCTCTCTCTTTCTCGCTCTCTCAAATAAATAAATAAAATCTTTAAAAAAAAATGTCCTAATGTATGGTTTCAAGTAAACAGTCACATCTCTTTTGAATTAGCATGTTAGATTGCATTTTACATTGTTATGGTTAAATATTTCAATACCCCCCCAACTTTCCCTTCTTTTTTTTTTAAAGGTTTTATTTATTTATCTGACAGAGAGAGACACAGTGAGAGAGGGAACACAAGTAGGGGGAGCGGGAGAGGGAGAAGCAGGCTTCCCGCAGAGCAGGAAGCCCGATGCAGGGCTCAATCCCAGGACCCTGGGATCATGACCCGAGCTGAAGGCAGACGCATAACGACTGAGCCACCCAGGTGCCACCCCCACAACTTTCCCTTTGTGAAATATTGACAGCTGGCTAACTTATTCATTCTGCTATGCTTTTGCGCTGTGAATGTATCAACTTACAGGGCACACCTGTTCAACTAGTAGTGGCTACCTCAAAGTACTGTGTGGAGAAGTATCCCCAGGCCACATTTAGACTTAAAAGAGAAAGAAATCACCTATTAAAAACATCTGCTATGGGGCTCCTGGGTGGCTCAGTGAGTTAAGTGTCCAACTCTTGACTTCAGCTCAGGTCTTGATCTCAGGGTCGTGAGTTCAAGCCCTGCGTTGGGCTCCACGAGCCCACTTAAATAAAACAATAAAACATCTGCCATGGATAAGGAATGGAAGAGTAACCATGTCACATCTAGTATCTGTCATTCATCCTTTAGTCTCTTATACCCAATGTGAAACAGAGACAAGAAGAAGGTGCCCCTGCAGTACAATATAGCTGACTACATGCATTCCTCCTTGAAATTCTCCTTTCTTAACACTATGATATTACTCTGGCCTGGCTTTTCATCCACTCTCTGGTCATTCTATGTCAGGAGCCTCTTCCTCTGCATATCCTTTGAATACTAGTGCTTCTTAGATTTCCAATCCTGGAGCGATATAGCCCCTTTCTTTCCAGCCTATTAAACTTTTCAAATACATTTTGAAGTTTTCCTCTCCCCAATGTTTTTGCCATCTGGTGGAGAATGGAGGTAAATGAACACAGGGAAAAGAAAAAGAGGGAGTACATTCAATAAGCAAACCAAACTATTAGATGCAAAAGTCCAATGATGTCCTACTTACTTCCAAAGCCAGTTGGTTTATTTTGCGCAAAAGCATTGTTTTGGGATGAGAAGAGACTGGTCCCTGTACTTGCAGTTCCAAACAAGCTATTTGATGTTCCTGTTGATGTGCCAAACCCAAAGCCAGTGCTTGTGGAAGTAGCTGGCTGACTAAATGAATTAGTACCAAATAATCCTCCTGGATAGATGGAGAGGAAAAAAACAGTTAAAGAGATGGATTGGAACCACTAAATGAAGTCCTATACCAGCTATAAATAAACCAACTGTATTCCAAGTAAAACCCCTACCTGGTTTGGTCTGTGAATTTCCAAAGAGGCCTCCAGTATTGTTGCTAGAACCAAATGCAGATGTTCCAAATGCTCCTCCACTAGTAGTGCCAAAGCCAGTGTCTGAAAAAGCAAAATCCAGGGTCAAAATAAAATCTAAATCAGGTGACCTAATGAAAAGGATTTTAATATTTCTTAACATTTTGTGTTTGAATAGAATCACTGGTCTAATCTGAAAATAATTTTTTCAAAGTTCCATCAGACTACAAACTACAGAGTTAAAATTAAGCCAGACATTTTATTCGTTGTCCCAGGAGAAAAAAACAAAGTGAAGAGGTGTGACTTTTCAATAAAGTTATAGATGTCGACAGGTTAAAAGAGTGCCAAGGTAACTAATGATTGTGAGCTACAGACAAAAGTCAAGTCATCAAAATTAAAGTGTTAAATTCTCTCTAGGCATCATACATTCCAGAGTCACTGCGATGAATGATCCTTATTTAGGGGAGCACATCAGAATGACCTGGGAAGGTTTTTCAGAATACACATGTTCAGGTTCCAACCAAGATTCTAATTCCATAGTTCTATGACAGGAAATATGTTCAGCAACAACAAAAGGAAGGGGCCCCTGGGTGGCTCAGGCCATTAGGTGCCTGCCTTCAGCTGGGATCAAGCCCCTTGCTGGACTCCCTACTCAGCAGGGAATCTACTTCTCCCTCTCCCTCTCCCTCTGCCCCCACCCCCACATCTTGAGCCCTCTCTCTCTCAAATAAAATCTTAAAAAAAAAAAACAAAAACATTTTCTCTCTCTGCCCCTCTCCCCCCAACCCCCCGGGCTCATGTGTCTGCTCTCTCTAAAAAAAAAGGTATTTCAAGTACCTTCTATGAATGATCAAAAAACCATGAAAACTCCAAACTTATTTCTATTTTCTTAGAAAATTCTAACAAGATCTTATCCAGTCATTCATCAAAGAGAATTTGTTATAAGACCAAAGTATGAATAAAATTCCTATCTAAAGCTATCAGAATGATTTGTTCTTTTTAAAAATTTATTTATTCAAGTATAATTAACACAGTGTTACATTAGTTTCAGAATCTGTATTTAAGAGTCTGTTTTTCGGTCTCTTTTTTCTTCATTTGTTTTGTTTCTTAAGTTCCACATATGAGTGGAATCATGGTATTTGTCTTTCTCCGACTTATTTCACTTAGCATTATACCCCCTAGATCCAACCATGTTGCTACAAATGGCAAGATCTCCCTCTTTATGATTAATATTCCACTGTATATATACCACATCTTTATCCATTCATCAGTCTATGGACACTTGGGTTGTTCCCATATCTTGGCTCTTGCAAATACTGCTGCAATAAACATAGGGGTGCATATATCTTTTTGAATTAGCATTTTGGTTTTCTTTGGGTAAATAAGTAGTAGTGGAATTACTGGATTGTACGCTAATTCTATTTTTTAATTTCTGAGGAACCTCCACACTGTTTTCCACAGTGGCTGTACCAGTCTGCATTTCCACCAACAGTGGGCAAGGAAGTTCCTTTTTCTCCACATCCTTGCCAGCACTTGTTATTTCTTGTGTTTTTTATTTCAGCCACCAGAATGGATTTGTTCTTAATAAGAATAGCTTAAGTTTTTCCCCTTCTTTTGTTCTTTTGTAAAACTTACTCTGCCCAAATGTTGAAGTTGTGCCAAAGCCACCAGTGCCACCCCCAAAGGGTGTTCCAAATGACTTATTAAACATCTTCAAAATGAGTCTTTGCTTCAGCAAGCTGAAAGAAGAAAAAATTATCACCTTTTTAAGGACCACAGAATACAATGCAATTCTTTCAAAAAATGTCATTGTACAAGTTTAGTCCCATCCAAACTGTAGCATAACGTTCACTCTCATTCAGTATCCTAAAACTCTATATGATAAAAGACCTTCTAAAATTGAGCTGAATTATTAGTACCATATAATTTAAGGTTAAATTTCATATCCCACCAACAATCATCCCTTATTTAAAACAATGTTTTTTACTTTTTTTTTTTAAGTTCCCTTTTAATGAATATTTTGGGTCCACTATGCCAGATCTAGGAGATTATCCACAATACCCATTAAAAATTACAATGAAAGGGCGCCTGGGTGGCTCAGGTGTTGAGTGTCTGCCTTCGGTGAAAATTCCCCACCTCATATGAATGATTCCTCTCCAGTATCTAAACTATGCACTTAATGAGTTGGACCAAAGTGTTCCAACAAATATAAATGTTTGGTTTCTAACCCCTCCCCAGATTTGCATTAAAAAAATGTTAGTCTATTCAAAAGTAAACACTGTCCCTCTGATAAATTTTCCTTAAACTTAAGATATCTGCTACCACTTAGCCAGCAGACAAGAAAACACTGAGTAAACTATGTACTTTTAATAAAAATCTCAGGGGGCACCTGGGTGGCTCAGTCATTGAGCGTTTGCCTTTGGCTCAGGTCATGATCCCGGGGTCCTGGGACCAAGCCCTGCACCGGGCTCTCTGCTCAGCGGGAAGCCTGCTTCTCCCTCTCCCACTCCCCCTGCTTGTGTTCCCTCTCTCCCTGTGTGTCTCTTTGTCAAATAAATGAAATCTTAAAAATAAATAAATAAATAAATATCTCAGAAAATAGCCAATCATACTTATCTGGATTTTGTAACATGTAGGATGATTTTTCTATTATATACACATTGATGGAAAAGTTTTTTCTTCTAGTAAAATCATACCTCATTCATATAATAGAATTAAACACTTAGAGGTGCTCCCTGCAATGTTCTAGTGTTCCTTCAGTACTTCCAGTTATTCTAATAACCAAAACATTTCGTGCAACATTGGAAAAGATGAAGCTGTCCCTAAATACCTAACGGTTTTACAAAAATCAACATTCCGTCCCCTAAACTTCCCCAGGAAAAAATTCCAATACTTAGTTCTTTATCCCAACATCCGGGAATTTAATAATTCCAATTAAACAAAGCTCACTGAAACCAGTGGTTCAAGAGAGCCATATCAGAATTAGCTAGTAAGCTTTTCAAAAATAGAACCCCCCAGGCCCCATTCTAGAAATGAGGACCAAAATGTCCAGGGTTGGGATGTAGACATTTGTATTTTGAAAGGCTCTTCAAGTGACTCTAATGCATTCTCCTGGAACCAGAGGCTATATTTCATATAATCATCCTTTCTCTTTTAGTAATGAGATCTGCTTGAAGTTTCCTGCCTTCTCAATTTAACAGGTGTCACAAAGTGTACAGATTGAGCCTTTACCCTATTAACTGGTGACTCTCCTTTCCAGGGAAAATATTCTTGGAAGTACTTAACAGAAGTCTAGACCTCTGTGGCTCTATCTATGTATTTGTTTTTCAAAAGTTCATTTGGAACTTATAGTTGTGCTAGGGGTTAGATGTCTAAGACCATTTCATTTTGACTGCAATCTCTTTCATACTGCTGTCTTGAGTCACAGCCCCATCACATCCACTTCACTCTCTGTTGACTACATTTTTTGACCCATCATCAGCACAGCAAAAACTGTGAGGAGTAATAGTTATTACACTAAATTTGCCATCCGTTTTCTTATTCATCCCCACAACCAGCAATCTGTTCATGTACATCTGACATCTATACAGCAGATGTGTCAGGATTCAGAAGCTAAGTAATAGTTTTTTCTCTGTGACAGTCATCCTTATATTGAAGATTTTAGTATTAATTTGGGGACTAGGTTCTACAGACCAAATCCATAGCTCCTAACAATCAAAATTTGCTTTTTAATATTCTTATCCTAACAGGGGCGCTTGGGTAGCTCAGTCAATTGAGCATCCAACTATTGATTTCGGCTCCGGTAATGATCTCATGGGTTGTGAGATCGAGCCCCACACTGGGCTCCCCAGTTAGCTGGAAGTTAGCTTGAGATTCCCTCTCTCCCTCTCCCTCTGCCCCTCCCCATGTTCTCTCTGGGGTGCACACTAAGATACAGAAATAAATCTTTTTTTTTTTTTTTAATCTTATCCTGGAGTGCCTGGGTGGCTCAGTCGGTTAGAGGTGTCTGACTCCTGATTTCGGCTCAGATCATGATCTCAGTGTCATGAGATCAAGCCCCCCATCGGGCTCCATGCTCATCACAGAGTCTGCTTGTCCCTCTCCCTCTGCTCCTCCCCTGCTCGTGCTCTCTCTCTCAAATAAAATCTTAAGAAACATAAAAAATGTAAAAAATTTAAAAAACTTATCCTAACATAAAAACCTAACATCACACATATTTCACAGAGGGATTTTAAGTAGTAATAAAATATCCTAGGAAACACCTAACAGTTTATAAGCTCTTATACATTATCCCACAATCCTAAAATGATGATATTATGCATCACTATCTGTATTTTAAGGATGAGAAAACAGGATCAAGTGTTTACCAAGTTTCCAAAGGTCAAAGAATAAGCGGTAGAGCCCCAGTTTAATCTATCCTCTGACTTCCCATGGACACCCTCAATCCTAGGAGGGAACATACTAAGCAACAAACAAGAACATGTTTAGTATTAAGGGAATTCATTTCATCTGTTCCAGACCCAAGAACAAGGGACAACGCAGGGACCAAATCCAATTTGGACTCCTGGAAAAAAAGCTTCTCACTCAAGCTCAGCCTATCTTTTTGGGGTTTTGGCCATGATGAGCTTGCCTTAGTCTCAAGCCTGAGCATACTGGGATTTAAGTGTTTAAAAAAAAAAAAAATTGGGCGCCTGGGTGGCTCAGATGGTTAAGCGTCTGCCTTCAGCTCAGGTCATGATCCCAGGGTCCTGGGATCGAGTCCCGCATCGGGCTCCCTGCTCCTTGGGAGCCTGCTTCTCCCTCTGCCTCTCTCTCTCTGTCTCTCATGAATAAATACATAAAATCTTAAAAAAAAAAAATTATCACCATGGAAATAAACTAGGATTTTGGAAATAAACTAGCCTCATGATTTTTATAATTGCTAGAAATTAAAGAATGGCTAATGCAGTTAACCTTTTGTCCTTCAAACAAATCATTTTCTTGACTATGCTATAAAATCTCAGTGACTCAATGAAAAATGTCCCATTCGCTAGACTTTCCCTTTCCAAACCTACTAATTCATTCTTTAAAACCTAGCTCAGTGGGTGCCTGGATGGCTCAGTCAGTTGACATCCCTCTTGGTTTTGGTTCAGGTCCTAATCTCAGGGTCATGAGATCGAGCACTGCCTCAGGTTCCACGCTCAGCATGGAGTCTGCTTGAGATTCTCTCCCTCTCCCTCTGCTCCTTCCACTGCTCATGTGTGCACGTGTGCTTTTTCTCTCTCAAATAAAATCTTAAAAAACAAAAAACCTAGCTCAAGCTCCAATGTCATCCCTTCCATAAGCTTTCATAGCTCCTTCTAGCAATTAGTCATTCCTCCGAGCTTACACAACACATGATTTGTTTATAAGTATTCATCTTGACTCTGACTCTTTATGGTGGACACTGTGATAATAGCAAATACCTGGGATTTCTAGTCCCAGCTGCTGAGCAGTACTACCAAAAGATAACACTCAGCTGTTGATCCTCTTCAGAACTGCCTCCACTGTAAGAGCTGCCTTACTCAGTGTCATATCCTCTTCCTAGGATAGCCCATATGCAAAACCAGGGCCCTTCACCCCAACTTAATCTAATTCTAAAGGGTGTTCCCAGCTTCACATTCTCCACAGGATTGGGTGAGGCCTTCATTAAGATAATATCACAACTCAATTTCTCCCTCAGCCCATTCCTCTTCTCTCCCAAGGTGGTGATCCCAAAGCACTCTGTAACAAAACTCATGCAACACTATCTCTAATTCAGAGTCTACTTTCCAAGGAGCTCAACCTTTGAAATCCAACCCTCCCCAATACACAATGAACTTCTCCAGGATAGAGACAGCATTATTGGTTTACTATCCCAGAAACTAACAAAGGGTCTGCAACATATACAGCTGACCTTTAAACAATGCAGGTTTTAGAACTCCTGGTGCCCCCAAAACTTAAGTACTTAATAACCCACTGTTGACTAGAAGCCTTACCAATAACATAAATAGTTGATTAACACATATTTTGTATGTTATGTACATTATGTACTGCATATTACAGTAAAGTGAGCTACAGAAAAGAAATATTAAGGTCATAAAGAAAATACATTTATAGTACTATACCGTATTTACTGAAACAATTCCACATGTAAGTGGACATGTGCAGTTCAAACCCTTGTTGTTGGAGGGTCAAGTGTACTCATTTTCTAAACTAATGACAATAACCACTAATGTGTTTTTTAAACAAAGGCTGTATGGGCACCTGGGTGGCTCAGTTGGTTAAGCGACTGCCTTCAGCTCAGGTCATGATCCTGGAGTCCCAGGATCGAGTCCCACATCGGGCTCCCTGCTCAGCAGGGAGTCTGTTTCTCCCTCTGACCTTCCCCCCTCTTATGTGCTCTCTCTCTCATTCTCTCTCTCAAGTAAATAAATAAAATCTTTAATAAATAAATAAATAAAGCTGTATGATCAAGTTATTTTATTTTATTTTTTTAAAGATTTTATTTCTTTCTTTTGACAGAGAGAGACACAGCGAGAGAGGGAACACAAGCAGGGGGAGTAGGAGAGGGAGAAACAGGCTTCCCGCGGAACAGGGAGCCCGATGCGGGGCTCAATCCCAGGACACTGGGATCACGACCCGAGCTGGAGGCAGACGCTTAACGACTGAGCCACCCAGGCGCCCCTATCAAGTTATTTTAGGAAGTAACTTCTAACTTAAAATAATCAAGTGTGATGAATTCTCAGAACAAAAGGAAACCATGAAAGGGAAGATTCTTGGTAGAATTTGTCATTTAATTAAGAAGTTGCAAAAAGAAGAGATCACAAAATGGCTGGATACAACCAGCAAACAGTTGTTTGGTTTGTTATATATATGGTCTATTTCGCATATATATGTATGCATGTATGCAGAAATGTTTATGTATGCATATATATTATCTCAAACTAGCTGATAACATTTAAAATAGGGCTAGGTCAGAAAAACATTTTGAGTTTGAGTTTGTAACTTCTGATATAATCAGAGAAAGGACCCATACATTTAAAACTGGAAGAACAGTAAGTGCCAGGAAGCACAACAGGAGGTCAAATGTAGGTCAGAATGTGAATAGGAAATATGAGGAGAAATTTGTGGGGATTTAGAATGTGAACTGGACGTTGGGGGACTAGAAAGACAAGAGAGGAAATGAGCACCAGGATAAATAAGGTACACAGGTAAGAATGGGTATTTGTGTACCCATCCTATCTGGCCTTGTATTTTAACACCAAAGCTCAGCTTCCCTCATATGATAAGCATATAATAAATGTACTTATTAGTTCATTAGGTAGATGTCATTAACTTTAAACTACCCAACTAAAGAAGTAAACCAGAGCACTCTGCTACATATGTAGCCAGGATACGGTATCAAGAATAGGACACCACCAGAATATTTGGACAAAGTTATCCTAGAGAGTTATTTCAAGTAAAAGATGTTTAATGAAAAAAAGCAAATTGCAAAAAGATACATTTGGCAGATTATGTAAAACAGAAAAGACAATACACTCTTATTCATAGTAAGAGTAAAAAGGGAGATTAGAAAAAATACATGAAAGTGGTTGCCTCTGGAGAAAGGCAGGTAAATGATATCTGGGGCAAAGAATTCAGAGGACCCAAACTTTTCCATCATGTTTATTTCTTCTATTACCAGCAACAACAACAAAAAAGATCTAGAGGATGCAGATAATCTGCACTATTTTTCCATTTAAAAAAAAAAGCTCTCCAGCCCTGGCCCCAGAGCATTATTGGTTTACTATCCCAGAAACTAACAAAGGGTCTGCAACATATACAGCTGACCTTTAAACAATGCAGGTTTTAGAACTCCTGGTGCCCCCAAAACTTAAGTACTTAATAACCCACTGTTGACTAGAAGCCTTACCAATAACATAAATAGTTGATTAACACATATTTTGTATGTTATGTACATTATGTACTGCATATTACAGTAAAGTGAGCTACAGAAAAGAAATATTAAGGTCATAAAGAAAATACATTTATAGTACTATACCGTATTTACTGAAACAATTCCACATGTAAGTGGACATGTGCAGTTCAAACCCTTGTTGTTGGAGGGTCAAGTGTACTCATTTTCTAAACTAATGACAATAACCACTAATGTGTTTTTTAAACAAAGGCTGTATGGGCACCTGGGTGGCTCAGTTGGTTAAGCGACTGCCTTCAGCTCAGGTCATGATCCTGGAGTCCCAGGATCGAGTCCCACATCGGGCTCCCTGCTCAGCAGGGAGTCTGTTTCTCCCTCTGACCTTCCCCCCTCTTATGTGCTCTCTCTCTCATTCTCTCTCTCAAGTAAATAAATAAAATCTTTAATAAATAAATAAATAAAGCTGTATGATCAAGTTATTTTATTTTATTTTTTTAAAGATTTTATTTCTTTCTTTTGACAGAGAGAGACACAGCGAGAGAGGGAACACAAGCAGGGGGAGTAGGAGAGGGAGAAACAGGCTTCCCGCGGAACAGGGAGCCCGATGCGGGGCTCAATCCCAGGACACTGGGATCACGACCCGAGCTGGAGGCAGACGCTTAACGACTGAGCCACCCAGGCGCCCCTATCAAGTTATTTTAGGAAGTAACTTCTAACTTAAAATAATCAAGTGTGATGAATTCTCAGAACAAAAGGAAACCATGAAAGGGAAGATTCTTGGTAGAATTTGTCATTTAATTAAGAAGTTGCAAAAAGAAGAGATCACAAAATGGCTGGATACAACCAGCAAACAGTTGTTTGGTTTGTTATATATATGGTCTATTTCGCATATATATGTATGCATGTATGCAGAAATGTTTATGTATGCATATATATTATCTCAAACTAGCTGATAACATTTAAAATAGGGCTAGGTCAGAAAAACATTTTGAGTTTGAGTTTGTAACTTCTGATATAATCAGAGAAAGGACCCATACATTTAAAACTGGAAGAACAGTAAGTGCCAGGAAGCACAACAGGAGGTCAAATGTAGGTCAGAATGTGAATAGGAAATATGAGGAGAAATTTGTGGGGATTTAGAATGTGAACTGGACGTTGGGGGACTAGAAAGACAAGAGAGGAAATGAGCACCAGGATAAATAAGGTACACAGGTAAGAATGGGTATTTGTGTACCCATCCTATCTGGCCTTGTATTTTAACACCAAAGCTCAGCTTCCCTCATATGATAAGCATATAATAAATGTACTTATTAGTTCATTAGGTAGATGTCATTAACTTTAAACTACCCAACTAAAGAAGTAAACCAGAGCACTCTGCTACATATGTAGCCAGGATACGGTATCAAGAATAGGACACCACCAGAATATTTGGACAAAGTTATCCTAGAGAGTTATTTCAAGTAAAAGATGTTTAATGAAAAAAAGCAAATTGCAAAAAGATACATTTGGCAGATTATGTAAAACAGAAAAGACAATACACTCTTATTCATAGTAAGAGTAAAAAGGGAGATTAGAAAAAATACATGAAAGTGGTTGCCTCTGGAGAAAGGCAGGTAAATGATATCTGGGGCAAAGAATTCAGAGGACCCAAACTTTTCCATCATGTTTATTTCTTCTATTACCAGCAACAACAACAAAAAAGATCTAGAGGATGCAGATAATCTGCACTATTTTTCCATTTAAAAAAAAAAGCTCTCCAGCCCTGGCCCCAGACATAGCAGCCGCCGAGATATTGATACCCAAGAAGAACCGAACTGCCATTTATGAACTCCTTTTCAAGGGAGTGATGGTGGCCAAGAAGGATGTCCACATGCCCAAACACCCTGAGCTGGCAGACAAGAATGTGCCCAACCTTCACGTCATAAAGGCCATGCAGTCTCTCAAATCACAAGGCTACATAAAGCAACAGTTTACCTGGAGACATTTCTACTGGTACCTTACCAACGAGGGCATCCAGTATCTCCGTGATTACCTCCACCTGCCCCCCGAGACTGTGCCTGCCACTCTGCGCCACAGCCGCCCTGAGACTGGCCGACCACGGCCCAAAGGTCTGGAGGGAGAGCGACCTGCAAGACTCACACGAGGGGAAGCTGACAGAGACACCTACAGGGGAAGCGCTGTGCTCCCTGGTGCCAACAAGAAAGCTGAGGCCGGGGTGGGTCAGCAACTGAGTTCCAGTTTAGAGGCGGATTTGGTCGTGGATGTGGTCAGCCACCTCAGTAAAGTTGGAGATGTTTTGTGTTGAATAAATTTGTAGTGGGGGGGGGTGGTGGTGGGAAGGTAGGGGTGCCTGGCTAGGTCAGTTGGTAGAGCATGTGACTCTTGATTTTGGCTCAGTCACGATCTTGGGGTTGTAAGATTGAGCCCTGTGTCTGGCTCCGTGTTGGGCATGGAGCCTGCTTAAGATTCTCTCTCTCCCAGGGCGCCTGGGTGGCTCAGTCATTAAGCGACTGCCTTCGGCTCAGGTCATGATCCCAGGGTGCTAGGATCGAGCCCTGCACCAGGCTTCCCAGACTGGGAAGCCTGCTTCTCCCTCTCCCACTCCCCCTGCTTGTGTTCCCTCTCTCTGTGTCTCTGTCAAATAAATAAATAAAATCTTAAAAAAAAAAAAAAGGGCGCCTGGGTGGCTCAGTCATTAAGCGTCTGCCTTCGGCTCAGGTCATGATCCCAGAGTCCTGGAATCGAGCCCCACATCGGGCTCCCTGCTCAGCGGGAAGCCTGCTTCTCCCTCTCCCACTCCCCCTGCTTGTGTTCCCTCTCTCGCTGTGTCTGCCTCTGTCAAATAAATGAATAAAATCTTAAAAAAAAAAAAATTCTCTTCCTCTGCCCCACCCCACTCATGCTAGCAATCTCCCCCTCTCAAAAAAAAAGGGGGAGTAATCCTACAGATTGCTATGTGTGGAACTTCTAAATCCATTCAAGTTCAAAGGCAGATCAAAAAAAAAAGTTTAAAGGCATATCACACATTCAAATCTTTATCCTTTTAAATATATTAACCTGGCCCAAACGGAAATACTAGCTAACATTTGAATTCTCACTACGCCCCAGGCACTGGCCTAAGTACATTTTACAAATTATCTCATATAAACCTCCCAAGAATCCAAAGAGGTAGGTATTTTGATCCCTATCTTACAAATGGTGAAACTGAGCATGATCACAAAGCTACTTCTGACTATTAGCTGTGCGTACAGATCCCAGAACTCCTAGAGAAAGAACACTGACAACTAAAGGGAAAAATGACTTTACATTCACTGTAAATAAGAAAGCTATAGGGATGCCTGGGTGGCTCAGTCGGTTAAGCGGCTGCCTTAGGCCCAGGTCATGATCCCAGGGTCCTGGGATTGAGTCCCGCATCGGGCTCCTTGCTCAGGGGGAGCCTGCTTCTCCCTCTCTCCCCCCCTGCTCGTGCTCTCTGTCAAATAAATAAAATCTTTAAAAAAAAAAAAAAAGAAAGCTATAAAACCAAAATTTGGCAGTATTAATCCAGCACTATCAGGGGAAAGAGACACTTCTCTGGCAAACACGACAGTTCTAATCATCAGAAAGGTAACTGCTCACTCTTATGGAATGACAATTTATGGCCTAGATGAACTTTCCTGAAAAGATTAACCATTTTCTTTATGGATGGATGTACTTATACTCACTGCAAAAATTTTTTTTTGTAAGACATATTAAGAAAGAACAAATTAGGGGCTCCTGGGTGGCTCAGTCGGTTAAGCGTCTGCCTTTGGCTCAGGTCATGATCCCAGGCCCTGCGTCAGGCTCCCTGCTCGGCGGGAAGCCTGCTTCTCCCTCTCCCACTCCCCCTGCTTGTGTTCCCTCTCTCGCTGTGTCTCTCTCTGTCAAATCAATAAATAAAATCTTAAAAAATTCTTAAAAAGAAAAAAATTAAAATGAAATAGTCCTATACAGGAAGAGACAATGCCCTTAAATAATTTACTTTGTTCTTTGTGCAGGTCTTTTTAAGTAGGCTCCACACCCAGCATGGAGCCCAATATGGCTTAAACTCACCACCCTGAGATCAAGACCTGAGCTGAGATCAAATCAAGATTCAGGCACTTAACCCACTGAGCCACACAGGGGTCCCTGTGCTCGATCTTCTAATTAGTAATTCAGGCAGTCAGATAAAAGAGGGGCTGCCCGGGTGGCTCAGTCAGTTTAGCAACTGACTTTGGCTCGGGTCGTGATCTCGGGGTCCTGGGATGGAGCCCCGAGACCGCAACAGGCTCCCAGTTCACCAGGTAGTCTGCTTCTCCCTCACCCTTTGCCCCTCCCCCCACCTTGCAAGCTCTTGCTCTCTCAAATGGATAAATAAAATCTTAAAAAAAAGACAAAAAAAACAAAAAAAAACTGGGGCGCCTGGGTGGCTCAGTCATTAAGCATCTGCCTTTGGCTCAGGTCATGGTCCCAGGGTCCTGGGATCGAGCCCCGCATCGGGCTCCCTGCTCGGCAGGAAGACTGCTTCTCCCTCTCCCACTCCCCCTGCTTGTGTTCCCTCTCTCGCTGTGTCTCTCTCTGTCAAATAAATAAGTCTTAAAAAAAAAACAAAACTGTCAGCTATAAGAAAAAGAGGTAGCCTTAATAACAGACATCAGTAGTCCAGTATTCCCCAACTATCCCAAATGAAGCTTAATAAACTGATATACATCCAACTTTTGTGCGCTTTGTGAACTCTGGGAACAATGACAAACCTTAGTTTTCTTCCAGAAAAGTGGTGGAGAGACCCTGAAACATGGTAACAACCCAGCAACTGCCAACTTTAAGCACTATCTGAATGACTAAGCAAGCTTGCTGCTCTCTGACAACAGAAAGTTACACAACTGGGAAGTAATTTTTCCTCTCCACTTCACTGAGTTCCTTTGTACCAAACTCAGTAAAAAGCAAAGACAATAAATAATTGTTAGATGAATGAACTAGTACTTCCCAGTTTACAAAGTACTTCATATATCCTCTCATCTAATCTTCACAAAAATACTAGAATAGGCAGGAATTATCATCCACAGTTAAACTGAATGGAAAAATAACTTGATTTTTGCCTTGAATAGAAGAGGGATGGGAGAGTTAGGCAGAATTCCAAGAAGTTAGCTTAGTCCTAATCACCTAATATCACATCCCAGCAAAACCACCTATCCTCTTGTTTTACTGTGTCCTTCCTATGATCAATCCCAGATCAAGCCATTCCCTTTGTGAGAACATTCGCTTTTCTCTAAAAACTATATCCTTTCCTTTTTTTGCTTTTTAAAGATTTTTATTTTATTTACTTGACAGAGTGACAGAGCACAAGCAGGGGGAGCAGCAGAGGGAGAGGGAGAAGCAGGCTCCCCGCTGAGCTGGGATACGCAGGTGCCCCTTTTTCTTTCTAAAAATTGCTGTTCAGGGGCACCTGGCTGGGTCAGTTGGTGGACTGTGTGACTCTTGGATCTTGGAGTTGTAAGTTTGAGCTCCAAGGTGGGTGTAGCAATTACATAAAAAAATAAAATCTTGGGGCATCTGGGTGGTTCAGTCAGTTAAACGTCTGCCTTTGGCTCAGATCATGATCCCAGGGTCCTGGGATCAAGCCCCACATCGGACTCCCTGCTTCTCCCTCTTTTTTTTTTTAAGATTTTATTTTATTTATGCATTTGAGAGAGAGGGAGATAGCAAGAGAGAGCAGGAGCAGGGAGGAGAGGGAGAAGCAGGTTCCCTGCGAGCAGGGAGCCCAACGTGGGGCTTGATCCCAGGACTCTGGGATCACAACCTGAGCTTAAGGCAGATGCTTAACCGACCAAGCCACCCAGGTGCCGCAATAATAAATCAAATCTTTTTTTTTTTTTAAAGATTTTATTTATTTATTCATGAGAGACAGAGAGAGAGAGAGAGAGAGAGGCAGAGGGAGAAGCAGGCTCCCAAGGAGCAAGGAGCCCGATGTGGGACTCGATCCCAGAACCCTGGGATCATGACCTGAGCCGAAGGCAGACGCTTAACCATCTGAGCCACCCAGGCGCCCTAATAAATCAAATCTTAAAAAAAAAGGAAAAGAAAAATTGCTGGGGCACCTGGGTAGAGCATGTGACTCTTGATCTCGAGGTTGTAAGTTCAAGCCCCACACTGAGTGTAGAGATTACTTAAAAATAAAAAAATAAATAAACATAAAAAATAAGGGGCGCCTGGGTGGCTCAGTTGGTTAAGCGAATGCCTTCGGCTCGGGTCATGATCCTGGAGTCCCAGGATTGAGTTCCACATTGGGCTCCTGCTCAGCAGGGAGTCTGCTTCTCCCTCTGACCCTCTCCCCTCTTACGCTCTCTCCCCCAAATAGATAGATAAAATCTTAAAAAAAAAAAAATTGCCGTTCAAGCCTATTCCACACTGTCCCAGATTAGACCCTTCAGACTCTTATCAGTATAAAAACACATCCCCTTCCCCTCCCCCTTTCCAAACCGATTACGTAAACTAATGCCTCCCAGCTGCTTTTAGTTATGCAATATATTTGTTGTCATACCTGTCACTTGAGTGTATGAACTGTTTGCTGCTCTGGTCAAAAGCATCTGGATTTTGCTCAATTTCTTCCATTAGGGTGTAAATTAATTTAAAATAATCTATATTATTTAATACAGCTCCTTTCCTCACAGTGCAGAGTAGTATTTTCATTCCCTTAACATAACCTTCATTTGACAAACAGAAGCAGTGAAAAGAGCACATCAACTTTGGAGCAAGACAAATCTCTATTTAAAACTCTCCACCACTTACTATCTTTGCAATTCTCTGTAAATCTTAAATTAACTCAAAATAAAAAGTTAAAAAGGAATTTAAGAAACCCTGCCATTTGCTACTGCGTAACTGTACTTGTCATGATATTCAACCTCTTAGACCTCTATGACTACAATTGAACAGGGATTTTCCGGCCTACACTTAAGGACAAAGACGCCTCAAACTACAGCTCCTCAAAAGGTTTGTTTGTTTTTAAAGATTTTTAAAATTTTTAAAGTAATCTCAACACCCAAAAGCAGGTTTTTGTTTAGCTTTTCAACAAATATTTTTACAATATTTTGTTAGAAAAAGGTACATTAATTTCCCCTCGCTCTAAGCCTTGACTGCTCAATGCCTAGCTAGAACACCATACATAAAATGATTTCCCAATACTTCAATGTCCTCTACTGACCATTTAATACAACCATAAAATACCACTGTAAACAACAAAAACAAACACCCACTCCATACACACACTGAAGTCACTCTGATCATTCATTCTCTTCCACTCATCTCACA